AATTGGCGGAAATGACTGGCAGAATCCGTGACCAGGGAGAAGAGTCGGTGGAAGAAGATTGGAAGAAATTCAAAGACTATTTACAGAAATACTGCAAAATTAAAGAATGTTAGAGTGATGTTGGGTTGAAATTAAGTGGCTTCTAGCTGTACAGGCTTTAAAGTTATATATAGATTAAGATTAAGGATTAGGATTAAAAAAGTCAAAAGAAATGGAAAATTGGTTTTTAATAGATTAGAATTTAATGTTATATTATATTAAGATTAAGGATGGGATTAAAAAGGAGGAAAAGGAATTGCTGGACAAACAAATTGAATTGGAATACAAAAGAGGGAGGTATGAGGAGGTCCGGGAAATAAGTAAATGTAAAAGTTGTGTATGAAAAGATGGAATTGTTTTTAACTGTTTTTTCTTTTTCCTTTTTGTATTTTGTATGGTGTTTTTTCTTTCTTTTTATTGTTAAATTTCTTTTTTTTTATTAAGATGTTTTTTCATGTGAAATTCCAATAAATATCATTTAAAAAAAAATAAAAAATCGAGAATTCAGGATTACCTTCTTGATGATCAAAAAATTATTGACAGAGCACAAAAATATTTGATGGACTATTTTGTTAATAACTGCAATAAGGGTACGAAAATGAATACAGTATGGGACGCCAGCAAAGCTGTGATGAGAGGATTTTTTATCCAGCAGAATTCATTGAAAAATAAAAGTAGAGAGAAAGGGAAAAAGGAAATTTTAAAGGAAATAATGGACAATGAGCAAAAATTAATAAAAAAACCTAACAATTTGAAAATAAGACAGAATATAAAAGTTTTGCAAACACAATTTGCAATGATAATAAATAAAGAAGTGGAATGGAATATAAAAAGGATGAGACAAAGGAACTTTGAATCTGCTAATAAATCAGGAAAATAGCTGGCATGGCAGATTAAGAAAAGGAAGGAACAGAATACCGTTAACAAAATCATCATTGAAGGTTCAGAAATAGAAGATCCAAAAGGGATTAGAAAGGGATTCTTGGATTTTGCAGACATTTGTATAAAAGCAAAGAGAAGAATAATATGAGGAAAATAGAAAGATTTTTAAAAGAAAAAGAGGTGTAGAAGATCCCGACAGAAAGAAAAGACAGACTGAATGCCCCAATACAAATTGAAGAGATAAAAGAGGCAATAAAAGAATTGAAAAAAGGGAAGGCTCCAGGACCAGATGGATTTACGGCAAATTACTATAAGGAAATGAGACACATCCTACTTGCACCACTAAAATAAGTTATGAACAATATTTTGAAAGAAAAAGAAATTCCAGAAACCTGGAAGGAAGCCTTCATCACATTTATCCCAAAACAAGACTCAGATTTAACACAAGTCAAAAACTATAGGCCTATTTCATTGCTAAATACAGATTATAAAATTTTTGCAAGCATATTAGCAAAGAGGATTAAAGAGTTACTACAAGAAATTATCAATAAAGATCAAGCGGGTTTCCTTCCTGGCGGACAGATGAAAGATAATATAAGGAATATAATTAATATTTTGGAATATCTGACCGCCAGGAATGAGAAACAAGCTATGCTAATATTTGTGGATGCAGAAAAGGCTTTCGATAATATATCATGGCAATTTATGTTAAAGAACTTGGAATTGATGGATGTGGGAAAGGAATTTTTCAATGGAATACAGTGGTACCCCGCAAGACGAATGCCTCGCAAGACGGAAAACCCGCTAGACGAAAGGGTATTCCGTTTTGGAGGTGGTTCGCAAAACGAATTTCCTATGGGCTTGCTTCGCAAGACGAAAATGTCTTGCGAGTTCCTGCGGGTTTTTTTTCCTCCCCCCCCCTTTTTCCCAAGCCGCTAAGCCGCTTATCAGCTGATCCGCTAAGCCGCTTAACAGCTGATCGCTAAGCCGCTTATCAGCTGATCCGCTAAGCCGCTTAACAGCTGATCCGTTAAGCCACTAAGCCGCTTATCAGCTGATCCGCTAAGCCGCTTAACAGCTGATCGCTAAGCCGCTTATCAGCTGATCGCTAAGCCGCTTATCAGCTGATCCGCTAAGCCGCTTAACAGCTGATCCGTTAAGCCACTAAGCCGCTTATCAGCTGATCCGCTAAGCTGCTTAACAGCTGATCGCTAAGCCGCTTATCAGCTGATCCGTTAAGCCACTAAGCCGCTTATCAGCTGATCCGCTAAGCCGCTGATCCGCTAAGCCCGCTAAGCTGCTAATAGCGCTAATCCGCTAATGGGCTTGCTTCGCAAGATGAAAAAACCGCAAGACGAAGAGACTCGCGGAACGGATTCTTTTTGTCTTGCGAGGCACCACTGTAAAGGCTATATATACAGAACAGAGAGCAAAGTTGATAGTTAATAACATCACTACAGAAGATATAAAAATAACTCCATTAGAAGTGATGAGTGTTAAAAAGATCAATATGAGGGGGAGATGGATAACATATGAGAGCTAATCATAAAAGAAGGAGGGAAGTGGAAAATGAAACCATATGAAGAGGTAAAAGAGTATGTGTATGATTGGTTGCATTACTATCAGGTTAATGAAATGTTTAAAAAGGATTTTAAAGAGTATGGCTATGTGGAAAGAGATTCAAAATTTCAAATAGAAATATTAAGTAATGATTACAAAATATTATCAAAAATGTATAAACTGCTGCTGGAATGGTATACAAAAGACAAAGAAGTTAAATCGGTGATGGTGCATTGGGCTAGGGATTTTGGATATAATATACAATTTGAGGAGTGGACAAAATTATGGAATGATAGATTAAGATTTACGGCATGTAGTGCGTTAAAGGAAAATGTTATGAAAATGGTTTATAGATGGTATATTACACCAGTAAAACTTGCAAAAATGTATAAAACATGTAATAAGTGTTGGAAGTGTAAAGAAAAGGAAGGGACATTCTATCATATGTGGTGGGAATGTAAGAAAGTGAAAGGCTTCTGGGAAATGATTTATAATGAGTTGAAAAAGATGTTGAAATATACATTTATTAAAAAACCGGAAGCTTTTCTTTTAGGAATGGTAGGAAGTGAAGTAAATAAAAAAGACTGTAAACTTTTCCAATACGCAGTAACAGCGGCGAGAATACTCCTAGCCCAAAAATGGAAACAGGAAGAATTACCGACGATCGAAGAATGGAGACTGAAATTGACGGACTTTGCAGAATTGGATAAATTAACAGGGAAGATTCGATATTTGCGAGACCAGAAGTTCATCGAGGACTGGGGAAAATTTACATATTATCTGAAAAGTATATGTGATGAGCAGACAACGCTTGTAGGTTTTCAAAATGTTCTGTGAAAGTATAAGAAATATTGTAAAAAAGGGAATAAGATTAGGGAGGTTATAATTTAAAGGCAATAGAAAAATTAGAAATGTGTAAACAAAAGAAGAGATTAAAACGGAAGATTGGCAGAGAAACTGAGGGAAGTCAAAAAAGAAGACTATGTAATAAATTTCGAAAATGGTTGTATAAATTTGTATTTGAAAATGAATAAAAATATTTTTTTTAAAAAAGAAAAGAAAGTGTGTGTTGGTTATAAGAAGGTTGTGCGCTGCACATATAGTCAAAAGTAAGATTCCGTTCTGGTTGCTGTTGCCAATTTCTTCTTTCCCAATAGTCCCAGGCCACAGATCGAAATCTTGCCTGATTCTTCCATTAAAATCACCCAGGAGGATAATTTTACCCTGCTTAGGCATCTTTGATAGGATGGTATCCAGCTGAGAGTAAAAATTTTCTTTAATGTCTTCATCAGCATTGAGTGTTGGTATGTTTGAGGCTACACGCTCGAGACTACACGCTGCAACTGATGCCCCCAGCGCCTCTCCCTCCTTCCCCTGCTTCTCCACCACCTTGCAACCTAAAAAGGGTCAACTTTGGGGTCCCCCCCTTAAAAAAGGTTGACAACTCTGGGAAACGGGGCAGGGGGGGGTGCCGGATATGCTTAAGAAGGCCCTGCCGAGGGGCTTTGTGTCCCTGTTGGGGTGGGAGCGGAGGGAGGGAGGAATGGATACGACTCTCGCTTTAAGCCGCGAGGGTGGCTGCGGAGCTGTTTGATCTTGTTGCTCTTTGCTTCCTTTCATGTTTTGGACCTTCAGCTTCCTTCCTCTCTTTGCTGCTGTCTTCGCCTCAATGGAAAACTTTGCTCCTCTTTGGGATTGTAGGACAAGACCTGCCAAGGAAAATAAAGAACTTATGTATGCTACAACAGCGGCAAGAGTCTTGATAGCACAAGGATGGAAGAATGAGGAAACCCCGACAAAAGAACAGTGGCAAGAAAAATTGATGAACTATGCAGAACTGGCTAAACTGACATACAAACTGCGAGACAAGGACAACTGTGCCTTCAAAGAAGAATGGAAACTTTTTACAAATTACTTCAAATACAACAAAATGAATTGGACTCCTTGGCAGGTTTTGAATAAACATACACAAATTTATTGACTGTTAACATAGTAGACAGATAATATAAAGAATTGTACAATTTTACAGTATGCAGAGAATATGTGGTGAGAAATCAGAGAGAGGAGCTGAGGGAAGTCTGGAGGGGGTGAGGAAGGGAGGGTTTGATGGGGAGATGGGGAGGAAGGGGGAATAATGAATATATGTTTTGATATTTTCTTATGTTGAAATTGTTAAAAGGAAACCTTTGCTCCTCTTTAACCAATCAATGAAAACAAAACGGAATGAAGGATCATCGAAAGCCCCGCGCAGGGTTTTAAATGAGAAAGAGAGACCTTTTTATTTGGACGGGTGGGTGGTTTAAACGCGACGAATGAAGCAGGGCCTTAAGTCCCTTTTCAGCAGCACAGAGAGGAAGGCGAGCGCAGAGGCTCCTCCGCCTCCCTCAGGTTTTGGCGGGAAAGCTGGCGGGGCCGTCCGCGTGACTCATCGACAGAAGCGGCGGGGGCGGCGACCTCCCCCTTCTCTCTCCTCGCCTCCTCCCTCAATCCCGCCGAGGCCGCTTCCGCTTCCGCCGCCGCCTGAGGGGAAACCCATCAAGCCCGAGCAAGATGGCGACGCTCTCCGTCTTGCAGGCTTCGCTGGCCGACGCTGCCGGAGGATTCAGCTTCCACAACTGCGCCCGGTCAGTGGCGGCCGCGGGGGGAGAGCGGGGGAGGCGGCGTGGGGGCCCGGCGGGGCGGCTCCGAGGCCTAGCGAGGCCCTCACGCGGGTGGGAGAGAAAGGGCTCTTCTGAAACAACAACGGTAATAAGTAACGCGCGCGCCGGTGCTGCTGCGGTTTCCTCATGGATCTTCCTTAGCGGTCTTCTTATTCGCCTGATCGCTTAAGCCGCCTTGGGATCCGCGGATGCTTCGTTCTTTCCCCGGAGGGGGGGTCGGGGGCCCCCCTCGGAAGTGGCTGAGCCAGACCTCCAAGGGCCGCCCATGGGGTGAGCGGGCTGGGGGGACCTTGCCTCTCCCCGCCCTTTATCTCAAAGAGAGAAGGAAGGGCTGTCGCTTCGTCACTATCCACCTCTTGGAAAGCTTAAACCTGCGGGTTTCTTAACCTCGAATGGATTTCTTTCCTCCTCAGTAACTAGGCAGCTGCCAGAGGGTGAAAATAGCGCTCAGGTTCTTTGCTTGGGGGGGGGGGCGGGGAAACGGGAATAATAAAAATAATTTTTATTTAAACCCCACCCTCTCCAGCCAAAACTGGACTCAGAGCAAGCAACATCAAATGTATAACACATTAACATAAAATCAATCAATTAAAATGCATCCTCAAATCAGATCAAGATCAGAATAAAATCCAATCAGATGGCAACCCGCAGATTAGGGCTGGGGACCTTAAATGCTCACCAGGCCCAACTATTTGTGCTGTTTGTGTTTGTATGGGCCTGTGAGAAAAATTGGGAAGCCGCTTTCATGCAAGTGCTTATGAAAGGGGAGGGGGAGTCAGGCTGAACCCTGACCAAAGGCCTGGCTGAACAGCTCCATCTTGCGGGCCCTGCGGAAAGATGTCAGATCCACCTTTTTATCCTGCTGGGCGGCTCAGTTGCTTAGAGCCTGATGTTGATAATCCCAAATTTGCCCAGTTGCAGGTTCGAGCCCTGCATGGGACGGCTTCGTATTCCTGCCTTGCAGGGAGCTGGACTAGGACTAGGTGATTCTTCGGGTCCCTTCCAACACTGCGGTGCTATGAATCCCATTTTTTTCCAAATCGTAGCTCCTCCCATAGGAGCAAACGGTTGCTAGTTCCCCCACCCCCAATTATAGCGGGGGGGGGGGGTAGTGGTGGTGGTGGTAGAAGAGAATTGCAGGGGTGGGGGGAGCGTGAGGGTTGTTGTTTTTGCTCCAAACTGCTTGTGTGTGCGCTGAAATGCGGGTCTGCATAAAAGGCGGATCTACACGGATCCTCATGGATCCTCCACTTTTTAAAAAATAATTCCAACAAATGCAGTGTCAAATCACACCTAGAAGGCACGCCTACAAACTGGACTATAAAAAACGTGGATCCAACACTTTACCGCGCTGCAGCACCACAAAAACATGGATCCGAGGCACGGATCCTCATGAATTCATATGATTTTTATATTGAAACAAAATAAAAACACCATGATACTGTAGACCACATCTTAGTCGGTAGGAGGAACCAAAAAAATCACGCATCCACTGTTTCGTGGTGCCGCAATGGCGCAAAAACATGGTTAAAAACACGGATCCTCATGAATCCTCATGATTTTTGCACTAGATCAGCCCAAACTCACTTTCAAATTACACATCATGTCCAGGGGCACAGCATCCACCACAGAAATCACGGATCCATGGCTTCCTGGCCATACCATGGCCCAAAAACGTGGTTTTCAAGAACGGATCCTCATGGATCCTCACACTTTTTGCATTGGGCCAACCCAAACTCATCGTCAAATCACACATCATAGCCAGGGGCACAGCCTACACCACAAAAAACTCGGATCCACGCCTGCGTGGCCACGCCCTGGCCCAAAACGTGGTTCCGAAGCACGGATCCTCATGAATCCTCATGATTTTTGCACTAGATCAGCCCAAAGTCACCATCAGATCAAACATCATGGCCAGCAGCACAGCATGCAACACAAAAATCACGGATCCACGGCTTCCTGACCATACCGTGGCCCAAAAACGTGGTTTTGAAGCACGGATCCTCATGGGTCCTCATGCTTTTTGCATTGGGCCACCCCAAACTCACTGTCAAATCACACATCATTCCCAGGGGCAGAGCCTGCACCACAGAAAACTCGGATCCACGGCTTCCTGGCCACTCCATGGCCCAAAAACGTGGTTCCGAAGCTCGGATCCTCATGGATCCTCACGCTTTTTGCACTAGATCAGCCCAAACTCACTGTCAAATCACACATCATAGCCAGGGGCACAGCTTACACCACAAAAAACTCGGATCCACGGCTTCCTGGCCACTCCATGGCCCAAAAACGTGGTTTTGAAGCACGGATCCTCGTGGATCCTCACGCTTTTTGCACTAGATTAGCACAAAGTCACTGTCAAATCACACACCATGTCCAGGGGCACAGCTTACACCACAAAAAAATCAGATCCACGGCTTCCTGGCCACTTCATGGCCCAAAAACGTGGTTTTGAAGCACGGATCCTCGTGGATCCTCACGCTTTTTGCACTAGATTAGCACAAAGTCACTGTCAAATCACACACCATGTCCAGGGGCACAGCTTACACCACAAAAATCAGATCCACGGCTTCCTGGCCACTTCATGGCCCAAAACGTGGTTTTGAAGCACGGATCCTCGTGGATCCTCACGCTTTTTGCACTAGATTAGCACAAAGTCACTGTCAAATCACACACCATGTCCAGGGGCACAGCTTACACCACAAAAAACTCGGATCCACGGCTTCCTGGCCACTCCATGGCCCAAAAACGTGGTTTTGAAGCACGGATCCTCGTGGATCCTCACGCTTTTTGCACTAGATTAGCACAAAGTCACTGTCAAATCACACACCATGTCCAGGGGCACAGCTTACACCACAAAAAACTCGGATCCACGGCTTCCTGGCCACTCCATGGCCCAAAAACGTGGTTTTGAAGGTCGGATCCTCACGGATCCTCACGCTTTTTGCATTGGGCCAACCCAAACTCACTGTCAAATCACATATCATACCCAGGGGCACAGACTACACCACAGAAATCACGGATCCACGGCTTCCTGGCCATACCATGGCCCAAAAACTTGGTTTTCAAGAACGGATCCTCATGGATCCTCACACTTTTTGCATTGGGCCAACCCAAACTCACCGTCAAATCACACATCATAGCCAGGGGCATAGCCTACACCACAAAAAACTGAGATCCGCGGCTTCCTGGCCACTCCATGGCCCAAAAACGTGGTTTTGAATCACAGATCCCCACCGATCCTCACGCTTTTTGCATTGGGCCAACCCAAACTCACTGTCAAATCACACTTCATGTCCAGGGGCACAGCCTGCACCACAAAAAACTCAGATCCATGGCTTCCTGGCCACTCCATGGCCCAAAAACGTGGTTTTGAATCACAGATCCCCACCGATCCTCACGCTTTTTGCATTGGGCCAACCCAAACTCACTGTCAAATCACACTTCATGTCCAGGGGCACAGCCTGCACCACAAAAAACTCAGATCCATGGCTTCCTGGCAACACCATGGACCAAAAACGTGGTTTTGAAGGTCGGATCCTCACGGATCCTAACGCTTTTTTCATTGGGCCAACCAAAACTCAACAGCAAATCACATATCATACCCAGGGGTACAGCCTGCACCACAAAAAACTCGGATCCACGGCTTCCTGGCCACTCCGTAGCCCAAAAACGTGGTTTTGAAGCACGGATCCTCGTGGATCCTCACACTTTTTGCATTGGGCCAGCCCAAACTCACCGTCAAATCCCACATCATGGCCAGGGGCACAGCCTGCACCACAAAAATCACGGATCCATGGCTTCCTGGCCACTCCGTGGCCCAAAAACGTGGTTTTGAATCACGGATCCTCATGGATCCTTACGCTTTTTGCATTGGGCCAACCCAAACTCACCGTCAGATCACATGCCATAGCCAAGGGCACAGCCTGCACCACAAAAATCATGAGTTGTACTACAAAAATCACAAAAATGCCCTTACCTGCACTGTTAATGTCACCACTGCAATATTATTATTAGAGCCGATAGGAGAATATATGACTACCGTATTTTTTGCTCTATAGGACACATTTTTTACCCTTCAAAAATTAAGGGGAAATGTGTGTGCGTCCTATGGAGCGAATGCAGGCTCCTTGGCTTCAGCGATAGCAACACGAAGCCTCCGAAGCGCAGAGGGAGCGCTCCCTCCGCGCTCCAGAGGCTACGCGTTGTCTTCGCTGAAGCCTGGAGAGCGAGAGGGGTTGGTGGTTGCTGAACAACTCCAGGCATGCCTGGAGGATGCAGACAATTTGGATCCCTTCCAATTGGGATTCAGGTCTCATCATGGGACTGAAACTGCCTTGGTCGCGCTGGTTGATGATCTCCGGTGGGCTAGGGACAAAGGTGAGAGCTGTTTCCTAGTTCTGCTGGATCTCTCAGCGGCTTTTGATACAATCGATCATAACATCCTTCTGGACCGTCTAGAGGAGCTGGGAGCTGAGGGTACTGTCATACAGTGGTTTCTCTCCTTCCTCCTGGACTGTGTCCAGAAAGTGGTGGTGGGGGATGAGTGTTCAGACTTACTTGTGGGGTGCCTCGGGGTTCCGTCCTCCCCTCCATGCTTTTAATATCTACATGAAGCTGCTGGGAGAGATCATCAGGGGGTTTGGGCGTGGTGTCCATCAATATGCGGATGATACCCAGCTCTACCTCTCTTTCAACTCAGAACCAGTGAAGGCGGTGAAGGTCCTGTGTGAGTGCTTGGAGGCGGTTGGAGGATGGATGGCAGCTAATGGATTGAAGTTGAATCCTGACAATATGGAAGTTCTGTTCTTGGGGGACGGGGTGGGCTGGTGTGAAGGACTCCCTGGTCCTGAATGGGGTAACTGTGCCCCTGAAGGACCAGGTGCGCAGCCTGGGAGTCAGCTAGTCTGGTGACTGGGAGTGGCCACCAAGACCATATAACACATGTCCTGAAAGACTTACATTGGCTCCCAGTACATTTCCGAGCACAATGCGAAGTTTTGGTGCTGAACTTTAAAGCCCTAAATGGCCTTGGCCCAGTAGACCTGAAGGAGCATCTCCACGCCCATCATTCTGCCCAGACACTGATGTTCAGCACCAAGGGCCTTCTGGTGGTTCCCTCACTGCGAGAAGCAAAGCGACAAGGAACCAGGCAGAGGGCCTTCTTGGTAGTGGCGCCCGCCCTGTGGAATGTCCTCCCATTAGATGTCACAAGAGATAAACAACTACCTGACATTTAGAAGACATCTGACCGCAGCCCTGTTTAGGGACGTTTTTAATGTGTGACTTTTTAATGTAGTTTTATTTCATTTTTTTGGAAGCCACCCAGAGTGGCTGGGGAAACCCAGCCAGATGGGCAGGGTACAAATATAGTAGTAGTAGTAGTAGTAGTAGTAGTAGTAGTAGTAGTACTTTGTAGGATTTGATAATCTTTATAGGTCTTTTAAATTTCTAATCTATCTATCTATCTATCTATCCCCTCCCCCTTTTCCCTTTCTGTACTTCCCTATCCTTATAAAATTGAATATATATATATATTTAAAATTTACGGCTCCACAGTTTTCTGGGTCGCCCCATATTCATTACCCAACCACCTATGCTGCTCATGGCCAGATCACTTTGGGGCACTGCCATGCTGTAAAAAGATTCTCATGAAGCACAGATCCCCATGGATCCTTAGGTTTTTTATGTTTGGTCACCCTGAAATCACTATCAAATCACACATGATGTATATGACCACAGAATGAACCACAAAAACCACAGAGCACAGCCAAGGAACAAACACTATATTAAATACTTTAATCCTCATGGATCGGCATGATTGTTAAATGGACTCCACCAAATTATATTGTAAGATCACACCAATGTCCATGGAATGACCGAAATACAAACGCTATCTGAAATGGTTCTGCATTAGCAAGAACATTGTATTAAAATGACATTCATATTCATAGCTTCCACTGTGAAGAACTGCACCTGGAAATTTTTGACGCTGCTAAACCTCAAGAATATCCAAGGCAGAGATTGTGATGATCTTACCTGTGAATGTAAATTATCAAACCAACTAGATGGATTGAACCACTCTGTGATTGATGCAACAACATCCTTCTTAGCTTGTCTGTATGGGATGGATTCAAAATATCCCTACAGTTTTGTGGCTGGTCATTTTTTGCACCAACTGATATACCCAGGCAAGGTAATTCCAGTGACTACGGTCCTTTCACATGTACCATTGCCCATCTGATTGCTTCTGCTGCCCAATTACAGTTCATACAAAAGGATATGGCTGCCATTAGACCCTGGATTGCAAAAAGAATACCGTAATACAGCACTGTGGTAAAACCTATTCTGAAGGACAAGACAAATATTTTCAAGTGGAAATTGATGCTGTTCCTCCCAAGAAGAGACAAATCTTGAACGAGAGTTACATTACTGTGTTTCAATCATGCCCAGAGGGATGGAAGGATACACTAACCTATTGCTCAGATATTTTACCTTCCTTGTTTGAAGGCTGCTGGTCACTATGTTTCTTGAAGGAAGGGTGCAGGAGGCCCAGTGGTGACCTAACTATGGTTTACTGTGAAGGAAACTGCAAGGACTGGTACTACTGCTTTCGCATAGGCATTGATTCAAAAGATCTTCCAGAGGTTTTCGTGTGTCCAGACTGTCAATCCACTGTGGCCAAATAGATTTTGAAACTGCGAACTGTCATATTCCACAGGTTGGTATAATACAGCAAAATCCAAACATATAGTTTTCATCATCATAGCAGGGATGGTCCTTTTCCATAGAATTATTATTTATGGAGTTAGTTTTTACATCCTGCTTTTCTCTACTTGAAGGAGTCTCAAAGTGGCTAAAAATCTCCTTTCCCTTCCACCCCCACAACAGACACCTTGTGAGGTAGGTGGGGCTGAGAGAGTTCAGAGAGAAGTGTGACTGGCCCAAGGTCACCCAGCAGCCTGCATGTGGAGGAGCGGGGAGCGAACCCAGCTCACCAGATTAGAGTCCACCGCTCTTAACCACTACACCACAGAAACATATCTCTTAAAACTCTGGAGCAAGCTGTTCAGTTCAGCCTCATAGTGATACTGATTTGTGGAGGGAAGGTTGGTGATGAGCAAGATCTGTTCCCATTTCCCAACACAGAGACCACAGAGCAGTTTCTTTTGGGGGCTGAACCTGCAGAGTGTTTCTGTTCAGAATTTCTGTGGCAAAAATTGGCTAAGTGCCTTTATAAACATTCAGCTTCTCAAATCGAACCCCATCATGAAACTTTCAGGTGTAGCTGCTGGAGGTGGAGGGCAGAGAAGGTGCTATTCCTTACCTCCCTCCTCCCAACCCCATGATCAGTTGCCCAATGGGCTGAATTTCAGGGCTTTTGCATGTAAAGGGCAAGCTTGTTCTTTACTTGTTTAGATCTTTAAACTTGGGAACAGATATTTGGCTCCATGACCAAAATGGTCAGCTTCTAGAGGACTGGAAAGATCATGATTGTACTTCCCTACCCTCAGCCCTAACCCCGTTGAGTATTTTTGTTATGAGACTGAGTGTTTGGGGCTGATGCTATAGCATTCTTGTCTGGGGGCTTGATGGAAAAACAGAAAAGTGACCCTCACCTAACTCTCCAATGCCCTTCAACGAGAATGCTGTAGGAAATATTGCTAAGCCCAAAGGGAGGCAAGAATTTGCTTCAGCTCACCTTGTTAATGGCAGAGCAAAAGCTATGTGTGTGTCATTCTCAATCAGTCTACTTTCAGGACTGATTTTAGAACCCTCTTGTCAGGGAACTGACATCAGAGCGAGAGGCGAAGGGGAGGCTCTCTGATGATGTGGGAGAAGGACCCAGCAGCAGAGGGAGAAACAGCCCAGTAGAGGGGGAAGCTAATCAGCGCAACACCAGGGATAGAGGGGGGCAGATGGGGGAATCGGAGAGAGGGCTCCAGGATTCTTCACTGGACATCAGTGAGGAGAGCCCAGGTCCTCCGCTGCCCACGCCCTCCCTGCGCAGGAGGCTCCCGCGCAGTGAGAGGAGGAGGAGACTGGGTGTCAAACAACTTTTATGTTGGAAGAGGTTCAAGAAACGCCCACTGACGGATTCTGCCAGCGATTGAGGCAGCCCACGATGAGAAGGGGCTGTGCAGTCAGAGAGGTTTTACAAGGCAAATCAGCCTAGAGAGGCACCAGTTTACGCACGAGTAACTCATACCCATTACACCTCTTATATCAGGCCACATGGTCACTGGAGGTGGCCCCATCATGCAAACATGACTATCCACACAGGGACCATCTATTTTTATTTTTTTCTGATACTGGATTTTAAGTTACAGTTACATCTTTTAAAACAGCTGTCAGTATATCACACTGTATTCCACTTGCCTTCCAAAGGAATACGTGGCTCTCCCCACATAGCGGGTTAGGTTGAGACTGCTGATCCAAAGTGATCAGTAATTTTTACGGTAATTACAATCCTGCTTTCCCTTGTACCAGCTTACCTTGACTTCAGTTAGGCCTTTGAAAAGGTCCCCCATGATATTATTGCAAAAAAAACTAGTAAAATGTGGGCTAGACAAAGCTACTGTTAGGTGGATTTGTAATTGGTTGACGGGCTGAACCCAAAGAGTGCTCATCAGTGGCTCACCTTCATCCTGGAAAAAAATGACTATTGGGGTTCCACAAGGTTCTGTCCTGGGCCTGGTGCTATTCAATATTTTTATAAATGATTTGGATGATGGAATAGAGGGTGTGCTAATCAAATTTGCAAATGACTGCAAACTGGGAGGGGTTGCTAATACACCGGAGGGCAGGGTCAGAATTCAAAATGACCTGAACAGCCTAGAGAGCTGGGCCAAAACCAACAATATGGAGTTCAATTAGGAGAAATGTAAGGTACTACACCTGGATAGAAAAATGAAATGCACAGGTGGGGGACACTTGGCTTGACAACAGTACCTGTGAAAGGGATCTGGGAGTCTTAGTCGACCACAAGCTGAATATGAGTCAACAGTGTGATGTGGCAGCTAAGAACGCCAATGCAATTCTGGGCTGCATCAATAGGAGTATAGTGTCTAGATCAAGCGAAGGAATGCTACCACACTATTCTGGTTGGTCAGACCACACCTGAAATATTGTGTCCAGTTCTGGGCACCACAGTTGAAGAAGGATATTGTCAAGCTGGAGCATGTCCAGAGGAGGGTGACCAAAATGTCAAAGGTCTGGAATCCAAGCCCTATGAGGAGAGACTTAGGGAGCTGGATTTGTTTAATCTAGAGAAGAGAAGATTAAGGAGTGACATGATAGCCATGTTTAAATATTTGAAGGGATGTCATGTTGAAGAGGGAGCAAGCTTGTTTTCTGCTGTTCTAGAGACTAGGATGCAGAATAATGGATTCAAACTATGGGAAAAGAGATTCCACCTGGGCGCGGTAATCCAGTCAGGGGAAAAGGGAGGCATACTATGTTTAGGGCACCGTTTCCAGCCCCTTCCCCTTTCGGGGTGAGCATAGTGGATCCTAAAAAGGGCTGCTCAGTCATGGATACAGCTGCTGAGCTGCTCAACTGCCTCATTCCTTGAGTCAGAACGACTGACCGCCCATGTGTCGGTTCATGACTAGGGGCTTCACATTCCTGCCCCCGTAGCCATTTAGTGATCGCCATGGGGGGAGGGGTTGGGGGGTTGGGCTGGGTTTTTGGAAGACGCCTGTGCGTGAATTTGTTTTATGTGTGTAGATCAGTGCACACTGACCAACGCACAGTCTTCGCAGTAGGGCTCTGTTCTGATGGCATGAGTATTCACGACAAACTGGTGGATCCTATCTGCTGCAGCCTTCACCTGCCTTCACAGGCGTTGTAACACACTGCTTGTTATCACCCGCCTGTTCTGCCGTTGAGGACTTCTTGCATCATTCTTTGTCTAGCTCCTTCCCTGTTATGTACTAAGCTTGGATCCTAGAACAATAGACAAGTAGGATCCTAGAATGCAAGAACTGATTGGCTTGCAGGAAAAGACCAATCAGGCTCCAGGAGGGAAGCAGAATCAGCCAGTCAGACGGGACTCATTGTGTAAATAATGTATATAAAAGCCTGAGGTTTGGGGGGGAAATTCAGTCACTGTTTTACAAGCTGCAATAAAGAGCATGAAATCACTACAGGACTCTGAGCATATTTAATTTTCTTTGACCTTACCGCCTTGGGTGACCCTGCTGGGAGTACGAGATTCCCAACGGCTTTGCTCACAAGGGTCATATGAATGTGCAAGCCTACTCACCATGACATGTGAGAGAACTGAGATAGATTGCACTGAGCCCTGGTCTCATTAGACAAAGCGTTCCAACAAAAAGGCTCTGGCTCTGGTTGAGGACAGCTGGATAGGTTTTAGGCCAGGGACCACCAGTAGGTTGCTGTTAGATGAGCGTCACACTCATGGGGGGTGTATTGGAAGATAATTCCCACAGATAAGAAAGGTCACAGCCTGTTTAGGGCTTTAAAGATTAGCACCAAAACATTGAACCTGATTCAATACTCCACCTGGAGCCAATCCAGCTGATGAACAACCAACTGAATGTGGGCTCTCCACAAAGTCCAAGTAAGAACTCATGCATCTGCATTTTAGACCATTTGGAGTTTCTGGAGCAGTCTCAAGGGTAGCCCTGCATCTCTCTCTCTCTCTCTCTCTCTCTCTCTCTCTCTCTCGATCACATTTATACCCTGCACTCCCTGGCTCAGGTGTACAGCAAGTTAAAGTAGTCTAGTCTGCTGGTGACTACTGCATGGATCACCATGGCTAGGTTGGAAAGGGACAGGTACAGTACCGATTGCCTAAGCTGACATAGATTCAAAAATGCCAGTTTGGCTACATTTGTGACCAATGCCTCCATAGAGACAGAAGCATCCAGGATCACAAAGGGACTCCTGATGGCAGCTACAGGTGACTATTGCGCCCCATGAAGAGCTGGGAGCTGGCAAACCGAACTGAAATCATTCTGGCCCAGCCATTGGGCGCCCATCTTTAATGGATAGAGATTCAGCCGACTCCATTTCCTCCATCCCAGCACACCCACCTAAAAATTGGCCAATATATCCAGGGTAGCATCTGGCCAGGGCCATGAAGCAGTAGATCCATGATGTTTGTGGTCATATCTGTGGTTATGTACAAGATATTTGAATAAAGGGTGAATTTGGGGTTCCCCAATGCAAAAAGTGTGATGATCCATGAGGATCCATGCTTCAAAACCACGTTTTTGGGCCGTGTTATGACCAGAAAGCTGTGGATCCTAGTTTTTTGTGGTGCAAGTTGTATCCCTGGACATGATGTGTGATTTGACAGTGAGTTTGGGTTGGCCCAATGCAAAAAGCATGAGGACCCATGAGGATCCGTGCTTCAAAACCACGTTTTTGGGCCACGGTATGGTCAGGAAGCCGTGGATCCGAGTTTTTTGTGGTGTAAGCTGTGCCCCTGGACATGGTGTGTGTTTTGACAGTGAGTTTGGGCTGATCTAGTGCAAAAAGCGTGAGGATCCATGAGGATCCGTGCTTCAAAACCACGTTTTTGGGCCATGGAGTGGCCAGGAAGCCGTGGATCCGAGTTTTCTGTGGTGCAGGCTCTGCCCCTGGGAATGATGTATGATTTGACAGTGAGTTTGGGGTGGCCCAATGCAAAAAGCATGAGGACCCATGAGGATCCGTGCTTCAAAACCACGTTTTTGGGCCATGGAGTGGCCAGGAAGCCGTGGAGCCGAGTTTTTTGTGGTGTAAGCTGTGTCCCTGGGAATGATGTGTGATTTGACGGTGAGTTTGGGTTGGCCCAATGCAAAAAGCGTGAGGATCCATGAGGATCCGTGCTTTAAAACCACGTTTTTGGGCCATGAAGTGGCCAGGAAGCCGTGGATCCGAGTTTTTTTGTGGTGTAAGATGTGCCCTGGACATGGTTTGTGATTTGACAGTGAGTTTGGGTTGTACCACTGCAAAAAGCGTGAGGATCCATGAGGATCCGAGCTTCGGAACCACGTTTTTGGGCCATGGAGTGGCCAGGAAGCCATGGATCCGAGTTTTCTGTGGTGCAGGCTCTGCCCCTGGGAATGATGTATGATTTGACAGTGAGTTTGGGTTGGCCCAATGCAAAAAGCGTGAGGATCCATGAGGATCCGTGCTTCAAAACCACGTTTTTGGGCCATGGAGTGGCCAGATAACCGTGGATCCGAGTTTTTTGTGGTGCAGGCTGTACCCCTGGGAATGATGTGTGATTTGACGGTGAGTTTGGGTTGGCCCAATGGAAAAAGTGTGAGGATCCATGAGGATCCGTGCTTCAAAACCACGTTTTTGGGCCATGGAGTGGCCAGGAAGCCGTGGATCCGAGTTTATTGTGGTGCAGGCTGTGCCCCTGGACATGATGTGTGATTTGACAGTGAGTTTGGGTTGGCCCAATGCAAAAAGCGTGAGGATCCATGAGGATCCGTGTTTCAAAACCACGTTTTTGTACCACGGTACAACCAGGAAGCCATGGATCCGAATTTTTTGTTGTGCAGGCTGTGCCCCTGTACATGATGTTTGATTTGACAGTGAGTTTGGGGTGGCCCAATGGAAAAAGCATGAGGATCCGTGAGGATCCGACCCTCAAAACCACGTTTTTGGGCCATGGAGTGGCCAGATAACCGTGGATCCGAGTTATTGTGGTGCAGGCTGTGCCCCTGGCCATGATGTGTGATTTGACGGTTAGTTTAGGTTGGCCCAGTGCAAAAAGTGTTAGGATCCGTGAGGATCCGTGCTTCAAAACCACGTTTATGGGCCATGGAGTGGCCAGATAACCGTGGATCCGTGATTTTTGTGGTGCAGGCTGTGCTCCTGGCTATGACGCATGATCTGACGTTGAGTTTGGGTTGGCCCAATGCAAAAAGCGTGAGGATCCATGAGGATCCGTGTTTCAAAACCACGTTTTTGTACCACGGTACAACCAGGAAGCCATGGATCTGAATTTTTTGTTGTGCAGGCTGTGCCCCTGTACATGATGTTTGATTTGACAGTGAGTTTGGGGTGTCCCAATGGAAAAAGCATGAGGATCCGTGAGGATCCGACCCTCAAAACCACGTTTTTGGGCCATGGCGTTGCCAGATAACCGTGGATCTGAGTTTTTTGTTGTGCAGGCTGTGCCCCTGGCCATGATGTGTGATTTGACGGTTAGTTTAGGTTGGCCCAGTGCAAAAAGTGTTAGGATGTGTGAGGATCCGTGCTTCAAAACCACGTTTATGGGCCATGGAGTGGCCAGATAACCGTGGATCCGTGATTTTTGTGGTGCAGGCTGTGCTCCTGGCTATGACGCTTGATCTGACGTTGAGTTTGGGTTGGCCCAATGCAAAAAGCGAGAGGATCCATGAGGATCCGTGCTTCAAAACCACGTTTTTGGGCCACGGAATGGCCATGCGGGCGTGGATCTGAGTTTTTTGTGGTGCAGGCTGTGCCCCTGGCTATGATATGTGATTTGACAGTGAGTTTGGGCTGGCCCAATGCAAAAAGCGTGAGGATCCATGAGGATCCGTGCTTTCAAAACGTTTTTGGGCCATGGTTTCGCCAGGAAGCCGTGGATCCATGATTTTTGTGTTGCATGCTGTGCCCATGGCCATGATGTGTCATTTGACGGTGACTTTGGGCTGATCTAGTGCAAAAATCATGAGGATCCATGAGGATCCGTGCTTCGAAACCACGTTTTTGGGCCACGGTATGGCCAGGCAGGCGTGGATCCGTGATTTTTGTGGTGCCTGCTGTGCCCATGGCCATGATGTTTGATCTGATGGTGACTTTGGGCTGATCTAGTGCAAAAATCATGAGGATCCATGAGGATCCATGCTTCAGAACCACGTTTTGGGCCACGGTATGGCCAGGCAGGCGTGGATCCGAGTTTTTTTTGGTGTAGGCTGTGCCCCTGGCTATGATGTGTGATTTGACAGTGATTTAGGGGTGGCCCAATGCAAAAAGCATGAGGATCCATGAGGATCCGTGCTTCAAAACCACGTTTTTGGGCCACGGTTTCCCCACGAAGCCGTGGATCCGTGATTTTTGTGGTGGATGCTGTGCCCATGGCGATGATGTTTGATCTGATGGTGACTTTGGGCTGATCTAGTGCAAAAATCATGAGGATCCATGAGGATCCGTGTTTTTAACCATGTTTTTGCGCCCCTGCGGCCCCCCGAAACAGTGGATGCGTGATTTTTTTGATGCTGCCTACAGAGTAAGACATGGTCTACAGTATCATGGTGGTTTTATTTAATTTGAATGAAAAAATCATATGAATTCATGAGGATCCGTGTAGATCCGCCTTTTACCTTTTTCCCTGAAATGCCAAGGGAAAACACACTTGCCTGCTCCCCAATAGGGCGGGTGGAGCATGCAAAAGCGATCCACTGTTGTAGCCAACAGCCCTTGGGCAGGCTTACTTAGAAGGTAAGTAAGGTTGGATTTCATTCTAGCGGGATCTACTTATAACCTTCAATTTCTAAGAGTTAAATTTTAAATGCATGACCAGCTTCCGGGGTGTGTGTGTCCTATAATGAACTAGTCAGGGGGCCAGATTCAGGGAGCGATGGGGGTAGGTTGTTACCTTCCTGACAGTGTTTTCTTCCTTTTATTAAATCGGGAGGAGTGGGGTGTTGGTGGGCTTGGTGCTTGCATTGGTTCCTTTTGCTGCATTCACTTCTTTCTCATCCTCTGGCAGTTAGAGTAGTCAGGATCTCCTTACACTATTTATGGAGAAGACTTTTTAATTTTTAGCACCAGTGCCTCATTTTCATGATTACCTCCTGTTGTAGGAATTCTCAGCTTGAAGTGGAGGGGACAAAGAAGGGCCTGCGTCTTCCCACAGCCCACAAGACTGGCACCACCATTGCTGGGGTAGTGTTTAAGGTGAGGCCTAATGCTTGTTGCAGTAATATCAGCTTTTTCAGTGTTCGTCCTATGCATGTCTACTCAGAAGTAAGTGTCACTAAGCTTAGTGGGACTTGCTTCCAGGAAAGTGGGCATAGGATTGCCATCTCCCTTTCTTTATCTAGGATGGGATAGTACTTGGAGCAGATACAAGAGCCACTGAAGGGATGGTTGTTGCTGACAAGAACTGTTCAAAAATACACTATATATCTCCAAACATTTAGTAAGTATATATATTACTAACCTTTTTCTAGGCCTGCTTATGATCACAGATTTTCTGGAAGTGGAAAGTTGCAAAGTATTTGTTTCTAATGGAGGGAACCAGGGAAAAGTAGGAAGAAAAAGCATGGGTATTTAATTGTTCATGTTTCACAAAGGGCTTTCTCTGTCCTCTCCTGAAAATGACCACCTGCTTTAATGGACTAAGACTGTCTAGTTAGCTCTTGATTCCTATAGAGTGGCAAATGTGTTCCGGGGGTTTGTGAGGCGGCTGCCAACCAAGTGTGGCCATGGCTTCTAGATAATTATTCAGAAGCTGCTTGTTTACTAAATGAAGTAAATATGTTTGCAGTTGTTGCGGGGCTGGAACGGCTGCAGACACAGAAATGACAACTCAGTTGATCTCTTCTAACATCGAACTCCACTTGCTCTCAACTGGACGGCTTCCAAGGGTGGTCACAGCCAACCAGATGCTCAAGCAGATGCTCTTCAGGTAACTGGCTTGTGGACTAAGCAGTGCTATTGCCACTGTTTGCCTCCTCCCCTTTCTCTCTTCATTCAGTTAAGCAGTATACAGACACATGTAGTTGGGAAAGTTCAGCAGCTGAGTGGCATGTTCTAAAATATGTGTGTGTTTAAACAATTTTACAAGCAGAAGCCTCCAAGGGCAGCATTTAAAAATGGAAATTTTTGTGTTTGTCATCAGCATTCAAAATTAACCAGTCTCCAATCTCTTTTTCGACTCAGTAGCGCCACCTAGCAACCAAAATGAGATTTCCAGCTATGTGATTTGTGACCAAGATCTCTGGCTGCGCAGGAGAGCCAAGGGCAGTGTCCTAGGACTGAAGCGTTCCCTTTCTGCTTGCTCCCCAGGGAACTATTTGATGGGCTAAAGGAATGTCTCCCTGGGGCCCAAAGCAGCCTTAATTGTGGTTCTTTCTCACTGCTGTTTTTGTTACCACCCCGAAATACAAGTGTTGAAATACCTCCCATCTAGCCGTGGCTGCCAGGCCACTGCACACTTCTGCACAAAGGCTTGGACTTGCCAGCAATGAGCTGCTGACCATGGGAAAGAGCGTGACCCCCATCACGTCAATCAAATGCGAGCCTGGTGGGAGAGAGGAGGGTGGGTGGGCTGGTGGGAGGGAGGCAGGATTATGCAAAAACGAGATCTCCAGGGCAGAGTCTCTTCCAAGGCTGCTAGGGAAGAGGATGAATTGGAAAGGACCCCTCATTGCAAAAAAAAGAGAAAACAATCAGAAGCTTCAGTGTGCCTCATTGCATGGCCCCTTCCTCTACACCACAGTTGCATGTAGACTTTGTGTGGCATCTGTGTGAAGGGAGGGAGTCGGGAGGACTACCCCGTTGCCCCAGCTGTCCAGCCTCACTTCCTCCTGCCCTTTGCTTCCATGCCCTTCCTGCCAAAAGCTTTCACCCTTCTAGCCTCCAGAGCCCATTCTCCCTGTCTGGAGCCACTGGCACATCCTACTGAGAGGGGCAGAAAAATGGCAGCGGAGAGGCAGAGAGTGTGCCCCGTTGCTGTGTGGGTGGCTGCTTGCTGGGGATGGGTGGCTGGCTTGTGTGAGGAATGCCACCTATTCGCTGGCCTAGCAGAACGGGCAAGCAGGAAGCAGCCCTTTACTGCAGAGTAAAGGGCTGCTTCCTGCCTGCTGAATTTGCAAGGCCAGAGAGATGCGGCTCTGTGAGCCTGCCTCCACCCGCCAACACCATGTGTCTACGTCTCTCTGGCTGGGTCTCTCTGTCCTGCAAGCCAGAGACTTTGGGCAATGCGCAGCTGACAGGTGGGCAGACAGGCAACACTTCCTCCCCACCCCTCTTTCTTTGGGAAAGCTTCAAGTCCCTGTGAATCAAACCAGTGGTGAAGGCTGCCTGGTGCGCGGCCACCATGTTTCTTCTTTGCTCAACTTCTGTTTGCACAGCATAAGCTGGGCGGGGGGCGGGGAGTGCAGGTTTTGGGGCAGCTGCTTTTTACTCTCTGGGAAGCCCATCTGTTTTATGAGAGGAGTCTTGACGTTTCAACACTCTTAAGGAACCCCCTTGTTTTCCTGCTCCCTTTTATTGGTTTAAATAGTTTCTGCTAGGAAGGGTGAGGGGAGTGCCCCTGCCTTTAAACTGCCACCACCACTGGTGTTTGTGTGCATTTTGAGAGGGAGAGAAAACTGCACAGAACTGCATGGCTTGGCTTGCCCTGCTCCTGCCCCTGCTTTGGCAAGTTGGCTGTGGTTGTGCTCTTTTGGTGCTGCGCTGCTTGCAGATCCCCCACAATCTTTTTTTCCAATGAAAAGGCACCTAGGCATTCTTGTAGTGCCTGGAATGCAGGTTTAAGATGTCATTAGGCTCTTAGCTTTTATACCCCAGTTTCTAACACTGTTTGGAATGCATTTCTGGTGTTCACACACTCTTATGCTAAACACATTTATGTCTTCCAGGTATCAAGGTTACATTGGTGCAGCCCTGGTTCTGGGTGGGGTAGATGTCACTGGAGCCCATCTTTACAGCATCTATCCTCATGGATCTACTGACAAATTGCCTTATGTCACAATGGGTGAGTCTTTCCCTGTTACAATTTAGGTAACTGCACTGCCCACTAGTGGAAATCTGTCGTAATTAGTTTTTCTTTCCTCATCTTTACTTGTGTGTGTGATTCTGAAATGTCATTAGCGTTGTAGAAAGTGAAAGTAAAACAGGGATCTCATACTCTGTGTGATCATATCTCTTGATGCCTAATAATAATAATTTAAATAATTGGCAAATTGTAAATGGCTTGGTGGGGAGATGGGAAATACAGCTTGTGCACATTTGCCAGAGAAGTGACTCCCAGAGTGTAGCTTCAATGCTGAATGACAAATGGTTTGCTAATTCAAATCCCAAGGTAGGGGTTCTTCATCAGAACATTAAAACAAACACACACAAAGTTTCTGAAATGCCATCAGAACCACTAGAGAAATTACACTGTAAGGGTGATTGCAGATTTCTTAAAGCAGCCCTGTAGCTTATATAGGGGCTGTCAGCAGCAAAAATAATGTTAGCTGACTGAAAATACAGGTGTGTAGCACTTGTCAGTGGAGAGTGTGAGAGCGTCTAATTTAATGTTTTGTTCTTCAAATGGATGCAATAGTTAATAGGCAAATGCAAGACACAGAGCTGTTCCACCAGGCCTTTGGCCAGGGCACAGCCTGACTCCCTCCTTTGGCAATCTTCACAGAACTCTAGCCCAATGGTTGCCATTAATTTGATTTGAATTAATTTTATAATGAAATGATTTTAGAATGTTGTATTATTTTATTGTTGTTAGCCGCTCAGAGCCCGGCTTCGGCTGGGGAGGGCGGGATATAAATTAAAAAATATTATTATTATTATTATTATTATTATTATTATTATTATTACTATGGATGTTTGATGGAGTTTGTTCACATAGATTCAGTTCATTCTGACCCCAATTTCACTTTGCTCTAATGCTTTGCCTGCCTATATGTACAAAAAAAAGAACACCTCTGTGTTTACTAGGGTCAAACATTTTTCTTAAATTACTCGAAGAAATGATGTGTGTGTGTGTGTGCGCGCACACACACACACACATCATAGAAGCATCTCTATTACAGATAGCCCTAGTTAGATTATGGAAGAGGTGTACTCCAAAATTACTGCATCTGTTTGGTTGATTTTGATGTTCTTTCATGCCAGTGTTAGGGAAAATTGGAGTCCTGGGCATAGACAAGCAGAGTTGTACAAAATGCTTAGAACAGAGTGTAGCTTTTTTACACCAATAGAAGGTGCCATGGTACCCTACAAAGTAGTAAATTATTCTGTGCATGAAATCTATTTTTGAAAGAATGCTATTATAGGATTTATGGTGTATTATTCTATTCAGACCCTTATATGAATTAACATAAAATATGAAATTGGATTAATATTTATAAATGTGTCCTGAAACTTATAAATTATTAAACTGCTGAACAATAAACCTTGCTGCATTTGTATAGTGAATGATTAGTGACCCAAAACTGCAGGATTCATGTCTGCCTTGCACCAGGAATCCTTTGACCCTGTTTTATTTGAAGCTGTAGAGCATGGCTATCCTATGAATATTGTTCGCTGCACCCAGTGAAAGAAATCTGACTGGTAAGGACTGCTGTCATTAAATGGGAATAGGCTTCTAAGCCTATGAAGCCTGACAGTATTAATCTGTCTGTTTTATCTACCATGCTGCTATTCCTTTAAAAAGAGAAGAAGAAGAAGGCTGCAATTCCAGCATGTTTAAAAGCAAACCACACTGAACTCCACAGCACTTGTTTCCAAGTAAACGTGCTTAGGGTTGGGCTATTGCATACCTGACAATGCTTCATTACAGGAATGACATGGGGTATATTGTGCAAATCTCTGGTCTGGTAAATATCAATAGTAGTAGTAGTAGTAGTAATAATAATAATAATTAATAATAAAAATAATTTATTATTTATACCCTGCCCATCTGGCTGAGTTTCCCCAGCCACTCTGGGCGGCTCCCAATCAAGTGTTAAAAACAGTACAGCATTAAATATTAAAAACTTCCCTAAACAGGGCTGCCTTCAGTATAGACAACTTCAATCTACTGTTTAAATAATTTGTCCAAATGTAGGGCCATGTTTTAAATGTGATATGTGAGAGACTGAAGAATGAATTTCTTGCTGCAGTGTGCAGCATACCTAAGGCTTAGGGATTACAATCTTAAAATGATCATAAAACCAGACATCAAAATTCATGCTCTCAAGCTCTGTTTTTGGGATGGATAACTGGCACAGACATGAATGTCTTGCAGTGCCTCTACATTGACACAACCCAGTTTTGGCCTCTTCTGGAAAGAAAGGACCGTAACCTTTTAATGGGCAGATGTGATGCAATATGAACACAGTTTGTGTTTTTAGTACTCCTGTGAAGGCTGACTGATCTCTTATGTGCCAAAATATTAGCATGATTTTTAAACTCAACATTTTGACAAGCTCCACATTTAGTCTGGTGGCAGAGAATACATATTTAAGCCAGAAGGAATTAGCTATCACAGCAGAATAGTAAATACTCAGACCTGCTCATATTTGATCAGATGTTAGGCACACACAAGGCAGCAGTATTGCTATTCCATGATTCCTCCATGTATCTACAAACTGAATACTAATTTCCCCATACCTTTCTCTTGTTGTTTTAAGCAATATTTTACATGTGTGTGCATGTAAGGCCTCTGTATTGTTGCTCAAAACAGGCAAAGAATAGAAATCCAGCATTTTGTTCCTAAATAAGAGACCAGTGTCGTTCCTTAGAAGGAATTTAAAACATACTCAGTGCTTACTCAGGAGTGAAAACATCAAATTAAAGTGTTTATGCTGACAAAGGACAAATGCGGGTTTCAGCAAACGATGCAAGATTATCTGATTGCTGGCTTGTCTAGAAATGTTTCTGGCCATGGCTATATAATGAAATGCATGCATACAATTAAAGGGCTTGAAGTCTGTACTTCAGACTTGGGAAGCAGCAAGATGCATTCTGGTGGTCTCTTGTGGCTAAGGCTGATCTCTTGGCACCAGTATTGTTTCATATTCATAAATCAGCTCTTCATGCATTGGCAATGTCTGTCTGCTGCACAGGCAATGCCACCAAGAGACCAGGCCTCTCAGCCAGGAACCAGAGTGAAAAATGATGCCGATCGATGGGCCTGTGGAGAGCACTGGATATCTACCTAGGAGGAGCAGCAAATTGAATAACAATGAGCATTTGTGAATAAGTGCGCTGTCAGGGACTGTTGGCACTGATGGATTAGAGAAATCTAAATGTTACTCTCTTCACAGTGCATTTGTTTGCCAGTGTGGCAGCAGCAAACAGGAGTGCTGGAAGATGCAGAAGGCTATTTAGTAAAAGAAAGCACTCTTCACTGAATGTTTGACGTTCAAAAGGCTGCTAACTGCAGTGTGCAAATGGACAAGTCCAATATCTGTTAAATATGGGACAGCAAGGTCATTTTAAAACACAAAAAGTATCTCTAGGTCATCAGATGTATAAAAAGGAATGCTGTGACTCTGTAATGTAACTGTAAAGAGAACATCATTCAGATATTATTATTATAGTTATTATTATTATTATTATTATTATTATTATTATTATTATTTATTTATATATCGCCCTATACCCAGAGATCTCAGGGCGGTTTACAGAAAAGAGGGCAGTTCACAGAAAAGATTCCCTTTCTTGTTATTCTTTCTGGGTCTAATAAAAAAAATCACTTTTGAGATTGGTGTAGAACTTATTTCTAGGCTGTTTTTAATTTAAATGCAGGTAGCACTGAGAAACTTATGTGCCCTGATCAGTTTATTTTAAAATATTTTTTAAACCACCTGTTAGGTGCCGGCATGGTTGCTCGAGAGCGAAGAGGCAAGACTCCCACCGGTCTTTTCCAGGCTTTATTGTCTGTACAAAAACATTTACAGTGCAGAGCGCCTCAAGTCCATGTCTGCTCAGTCGCTAGCAGAATCTGGGAGTGGGCGGTCCTTAAACTTTCCCCAGCATAACAGTCTTTTGACCCCCATCCTTCTCCTCCTCTCTCTGCGCATAAACCGACTGCGCAGAGAGGGCGTTGGCAAAGGGGGACCTGCCTCCCCCCCACTTTGCTCAGGCTCGGTGTTGCGGCTCTCTCTAGCATCTTCCGATCCCTGCATCCCTTCTCCACTGGAGGCTTCCCTCCTCCCCGGAGGAAGAGCTGCTTCGCACGATCTTCGGAGGCTCCCTGTAACCCAAGTGCCCTTCCACCTCTCACCTCTGAGCTGATGGCAGTTCCCTGACATCCACCCACCCCCCTCAAGCCCCCCTCCCCATTGGTGGGGTCTCTAACAGCATCCCCCTCCTGGACTCTGGTAGAAGGGGGGGGGGGGGAACCCCGGAAAGAATAGTCGTCGTCCTCCGTGGATTCAAAAACTGCTTCCCATCCTCCCGTGTTCCTCCCTGCCGACGGGAAGTCCCAGTCAGATTCCTCCCCCTCAGACAGCTCCTCGACTTCGTTCCGTAGTCCGTCCTCTCCCCCTGAGGATGGAAAGCCTACGAAGTCCCCCTCGTCGTCCGTGGGTCCAAACACTTCGTCAAAGAACCTCCCTTGGGGTTTTAGCTTGTGTGGGAACAGAGCATGGAATTCCTCCACCAGATATTCCTCTGTGATGGAGCCTGCAGGAACCTACGCATTTTCTGAGCTGGGTTCCCCCTCCCAGGCCACCAAGTACCCTTTCCACCTGGAATCGAATATTTCCGTTACTTCATTACAGCGTTCCCTCTCTACGTGTGGATGGGTGGACACCCCTTCCTCCCTTCCCGGGGAGCCGTGTCCCTCCCTATAAGGCGAAAGTAAGGACGTATGAAACACCGGATGTATTCTCATGCTGTCCAGCAATTTCAGCCTGAATGTCACTGGGTTGACCTGATGGATTACCTCAAAGGGCCCCAGCTGTCTAGGCTGCAGTTTTTTGCAAACCCCCCTTAAGGGCAACCCCTGGGATGACAACCACACTTTGTATGACCTGTATGACCTCTCCTGGCCTGCGATGCCTGTCTGCCTGCTTTTTATATACCTCTTTGGCCCTTTCCAGGTTCAGTTGGAGCTGCTGGTGCAAAGCTTCCATCTCTTCTGCAAACTGCTCTGCCGCCGGAACACTCCATTCCCCCTCGCCCGTCCTGGGAAGGCCCTGGGGTGACACCCGTAGTTGGACATAAAGGGGCTCATCCCCGTGGACACATGTTCAGCACTGTTATATGCAAACTCAGCTAGTGCTAATTTCTCCACCTAATCGTTCTGCCTCTGGCTGACGTAGCAGCGTAGGTACTGCTGCAATATGGCATTGGCTCTTTCGGCTTGCCCGTTGGTTTCTGGGTGTCTTGCCGTCAAGAAGCTCACCTCTACCTGCAACAGGCTCATGAGTTTACGCCGGAACCGTGAGGTGAACTGTCTTCCGCAATCGGAGACGACCCTCAATGGGGTCCCATGCAGTTGAAAGACGTGATCCACGAACAGCTTGGCCGTTTCCTCGGCTGTCACCGCGTGGGAACATGCCATGAAGTGACACATTTTGGTCAGCAGGTTGACCGCCGCTGCCGTCTTTCCTCGTGACCTGGGCAGATCTGTCATGAAATCTATGGACACCACCTCCCAGGGTCTCCCCGTTGTCGGTAAGGGTTCCAGTAAACCCGCCGGTGTTGCCCTTGGCCCTCTGGCCCTCTGACACCTGTCACACCCTCTCGCCTCTGAGCTGATGGCAGTTCCCTGACACCACCCCTTATCAGTTAAGATATTTGCACAATAAGACCAAAAGTGGCCATATAACCACAAAAGCTCCACGTATACAATACAGCCAAAACAACTTTACAAGGCAGCAAAATATAATAGGGGGACTACACACGCAAAGCAGCTCAAGCAAGCAGGAAAGTTTTGAATTGGCACTGTGAAAGATGACAAAGTTGGTGCCTATGAAATTATGTGGGGATGTTCCACAATTGAAATGCCACGTCAAGAGGCACGTTCCTCCTTTGCTTGTAGCATGCTCAATAAGAGCCTGGCCCACAGCAGGTTGTAAGATGGTTGTAGGCTGGTGTAGGGGCAGGTGCTGCATCAGGCATTTTAAGAGCATGCTCTCGCAGACGCAGACTGCCTTGTGACCAGTGTTGTGCAGTTCTCTTCAGTGTTGGGGGGCACATGGCATCCAAAGAGCTACATGCAGCTCCTGTCCCCAGATGCAGGCCTGTTGACTGCGGGCTTCTGGCGTTGAAGAGCATGAGCTAGTTGCTGAAGCTGCCTTGAGTATTTTGTGGTGCTTTGGGAAAGCGAGGGTCTGTTACCCAGGCTTGTCACCCAATGTTCTGGTTTAGTGCCTCTTACTTTATTAACACTTTTGTGTAGTTTTTGCCAAGCTATATGCCATGATATCCATCGTTTAAAATGCCAGCTCTGTGTCTTGGTCACACACCAGCATGATCAAGAAAAGGGAAACCGGGGTGAAGCTGTGCAGAAAGAGGCTGCCTCCCATAGTTGAGAACATAGTTCCTGGACATTCCACCTCCTCTGCTCCCGAGAGTGAGCTGACGAGTGCTTGGGGTGAAAGATAGGGTGTGCGCCCCCCCCCCCCCCCCAGCAATATCCAGTCTTTGAATCCATTAAGGCTCTTCTTTGAAAGTCAAAAATGAGAGTGCTGCAGCTGCAAAGATGGGAATCAGAACCTGGTTGGGGAACGGGCTGGTGATAACTTGCTGTCTGTGTATATATCTTTACAGTATGTTCTCTATTCACGCCCTACTCATCCCCTGCCTTCCAAAATGTTGGGAATTTTGCTAGCATGTGAATGCAAAATGGGCTGTTTCAGAAGGAAGGCCTAGATATAAATTACATAAAAAACAGATTGTTGTAAAATATTTCTTCTGGCACATTACAGCTCTTGTCTTGCCTGTTAAAACTCCAATGTGAGGCTCTTCCAGACACCTTGCTTGCCTCTTAATTCCACCTGATTCTGCTTATTCCTGTTGTGGGGAGCTTGGCAATAAGGCTCGCCTCATAAACTGCATCCAGAGCAGCACTACAGGACTTCACTTTGACCTCCTTGTGGTTCAGCACAGTTCTTCTTCTTTGCTATTTTTGGCAGCTGGCATATTTTGTGCATGTTGCTCTCCTCTCCTGTTCGTCACTTGCAAAGAATTCCTTTTTGTTTCCCATTCCTACCTTTTTGAAAATGGAGCTGTACGTGGCTCCGAGGCAAAAAAAATAGCCATTGCCTGGAGTATAAGAAGATTCTTTGTAAACCCTGAAGGAGCGTCTCCACCCCCATCATTCTGCCCGGATGCTAAGGTCCAGCGCCGAGGGCCTTCTGGTGGTTCCCTCATTGCGGGAAGCAAAGCTACAGGGAACCAGGCAGAGGGCCTTCTAGGGAGTGGCGCCCGCCCTGTGGAATGCCCTCCTATCAGATGTCAAAGAGATAAACAACTACCTGACATTCAGAAGACATCTGAAGGCAGCCCTGTTCAGGGAAGTTTTTAATGTGTGACATTTTAATGTATTTTTAATCTTTGTTGGAAGCTGCCCAGAGTGGCTGGGGAAACCCAGCCAGATGGGCGGGGTACAAATAATTATTATAAATGTGATGTATTTGGTACTGTAAAGGTAATGATCCTCAACCACAGCAATATTCCATAACAGGAGGAGTCTTTGTCACATTCGCTGGAATTACCATGTTCATTGATTTGTGTCTGTAAATCTGCCTCTACCCTTTAAATTTGATCTATAATTGGACCTCCTTAAATGGTACAGATAAGATAATCTGTATTTTCTCAGCAATGTCACTATCAGCGTCTCCCTTTTCATTATACATTCAGCAGACTTAATAAAATCAGCAGGACACCTCCTTTGAAAACTCTTTAATCGCTGCCTTTTTCTTTACTAAACCATTGAGGTGGTCAAGTGATGTATACAAATCATTTTAAATGGAAAATATGGCTTTCTGGGTGACCCAGCTAAACAGATAGTGGTATGCAAAACAAGTTAAAAAGTAATAAATGCCAAAAAAATCTAATTGGTATAAAAAAATTGTCGCTAACTTTATTCCGTCTCCAAAAGCAGATCATCCTGAAATACTGTCTGGGCTGCACTGAAACATGATGATGATGTCTATGCAGGGAAGATTCACATTCTCTTCTGAACAAAGCTTATTTAAGATTGCCAAATAGTTCATAGCCGCTCTTTGCATGGACTTGTAATGCCTGGAGCTGACATCGGAAGGGGGGTTCTTCTGTTAGTATTTTTGTAGGACAGCTCTTGAAATCGCCAAATGTGTGTGTTTAAACCTTTGTGTGTGATTCATGTTTGCCACTCTGGTGTGCTCTGCCTTACTGTTTTATAGTGCAAACTAGAAACAATCCAGAAACCAATAAAATAAAACACAATTGAACTGGGGTAGATGAGACTGAATGGCCACCCGGATTCCTATATCTTTCTGTGCATGTGCTAAACCAACCCACTGAAATAATTTGTTCCTTTCAGCTGATCCAAATGATTTTAAAGCCCTAGTCTGCCTCTTCTCAGAGCTTCTGGCTTGGTCATACGTGGCTCAGTATATATTTTTCTAGAAAATATCTCAGCTGTTCTAGAAATGCTGCCCCAATCTATAAAAAAAAACAACTCCAGGATTTAGAGGGGTGCTTCTGGTGCTTCTAAAGGCTTGGTCATACCCAGTAGGATTTTTTTATTTGCCTTGAACAGCAGGACCACCCACCACCCTCTCTGCCATACCACACCACTATTCACTTTTGATATTGAGAATATTTTCAAAAGCATTTGGGAAGGGGGCTGGGCTTCAAGAAATAAAAGCTGAACGTGCTCCCACTAAACCCTGGTACAGCTTCCGCAGGGAGCTTAGTATGAGTTATCTATATCTATATATCTATATATGTATATATATGTATATATATATATATATATATATATTAGATTTTCCAATTTAACAATCCAATCAAATCACATTAAATATTCCAAACTATACATATACATATCAAATAATCCAAATATTCTGCCAAATTATAATTTTTTTATTATTGGGACTTCCCATGCTTTGGTGCCGGAGGAGACTCTTGAGAGTCCCATGGACTGCAAGAAGATCAAACCTATCCATTCTTAAGGAAATCAGCCCTGAGTGCTCACTGGAAGGACAGATCGTGAAGCTGAGGCTCCAATACTTTGGCCACCTCATGAGAAGAGAAGACTCCCTGGCAAAGACCCTGATGTTGGGAAAGATGGAGGGCACAAGGAGAAGGGGACGACAGAGGACGAGTTGGTTGGACAGTGTTCTCGAAGCTACGAACATGAGTTTGACCAAACTGCAGGAGGCAGTGGAAGACAGGAGTGCCTGGTGTGCTCTGGTCCATGGGGTCACGAAGAGTCAGACACGACTAAACAACAACAACAACAAATGCTTGAGTTCGGGGGGGGGGCGCTCTGATCATCTCATGTTTCTGCTGCTTTTGCCAGTCATTTCTAATAGTTCCTTTAAATCTTGCTGTTGTTTTCCTTCTTTCACTGTCTCCAAGTTGTTTCCACAGGTGAGTTGAAATAAAATCGTATGTTTCTGTGTGGATTTAATTGTGTGATACCCCTCTGTCCATGCAACATCTCCTCACCCACTGGTATTTCTGCCGAATCAATCCAAAAATATTTTCGCTGCTGGCAGCCGCTATCTTCTCTCAGTTCCAATGAAACAATTCTTGGCGTCTGCTCATTAATTTTCCCAGACCGGTTGCATCAAACATTAGCCTTTCCAGGGGAGATTTACCAAATCATGCTTGAAATACAAATATAATGACATATTAAGAGCTCACCTCCCCCTATGACTATTTATAACTCTGCAGCTCGGTCTTATTCCATCATGGCGGATTTCCAAATTAAAACTGTGTCATCACTCCTTCGACTCATTCTAGGAAACGGTCCAAAAATTTTTAACATCTCTCCAGCAGCTAATGAGATCCTGCTTCTGTCTAACATCAACAATTGGGGAATCTTTTATCTTCTTCCAGACAATTCAAAGATCAAAATCTTTAATTATATAATATTGTTATTTCCACACAGTTTATAGTTTAAAGCCATATTTATATCAACGAATATAAACTTTTCATTCTCGCTTGCTATAAATGATGTAAATGATTTTTCTGGGTTTTTTTGCCAAGTATTATAATAAATCTGAGTCCTATAGTAGAAAAAGCTTTACCCCCCCCCCATTTCCATTCCATTCCAACATACCAGCTTAGATGTTATCCTTCCACTCTGTCTCTTTAGGGACCTCAGTGGCTGGCTTAATTGGCAGATTAATTTCCCCATCCTCGCTCAAAGCATGTGCAAAACATAAATCCAATTTTTTTATCTTAAGAAATGGAACTTGGGCGCTCCTGGGGACAGCGTCCGGGAGATCCAGACTCCCTCGGGGGCTTTCCATCCAGTGCCCCCACCCCCTCCTTCTTTACAAACTTGGGGGTTGTTAGTGGGCATCTGCGGATGAGACTGCATCTTCCCATCTTGGTATGAGTTATCAACCTGCTTTTCCCCCTTGCCTTTCTTCAGAGTAAGGCTCTGTTTGTTATTGAGCTTGAATAAGAGATGCTGCTCTAAAGTAGCAAAACAAATGTACAGTCCTACCTCGGGTTGAATGTGCTTCAGGTTGAGCGCGTTCGGGTTGCGCTCCGTGGCAACCCGGAAGTAACAGAGTGCGTTACTTCCGGGTTTCGCCGCATGCTCAGACGCTCAAAATGATGTCACGAGCATGCGCGAAAGCGGCAAAACGCGGCACACGCCGTCGCGTCTTACGTTCCATTCAGGATGCGAACAGGGCTCCAGAACGGATCCCTTTCACATCCTGAGGTACCACTGTATAGGAATGTAAATGAGTATTTGTAAAGTTCTTGTCTCATCGTTGCCTTTTCTGTTCTGTCATTTGAAAACCATAATGGTGTATTGGACGTAACATTAGTGAAAATTAAAATGAAAACTGTCTCTTTTCAGGTTCAGGTTCATTGGCAGCTATGGCAGTTTTTGAAGACAAATTCAAGCCTGACATGGAGGTAAACATTCTCTCTGCCTCCTGTACTCCCACTGTTTATTTGTGTAATTGTGATAGTAGCATAGTGTGATTTGTAGGATGGGGTTGCTTATTAGTCTTTAATCCTTTGAATGATCTTTAATGGTTGGTTTTCAGTTACAGCAATGCCACAACAGTCTGAAGAGTCACTTTGTTGTCTTCTGTGGGGATTATCCAAAGTATTGTTTCTGTGCTAATAAATATGCTAATAAATATGCACAAAACTTGAGTTAGACACAAAACTGTAAAATGTGTTTACCTATGTTCTCATGGAAAAATCAGTACAAGTCTGACACCTGTGCCTTGTGGATGTAATTGCATGAATTCTGCAGGATGTGTTAAACACGTAACTGATGTTTCCTCAAATGCTGGTGTTTCCAGATATTTTGTGCCTGGCTCTTTACGATATGAGTGCAAAAGTGAAACGTATGGGTGATTATTGGGTCTGTAATCTGAAAACAAGATCATGGCCACTGGTCCCATCACCTCCTGGCAAATAGAAGGGCAAGAAATGGAGGCAGTGAGAGATTTTACTTCCTTGGGCTCCATGAGCACTGCAGATGGTGACAGCAGTCACGAAATTAAAAGACGCCTGCTCCTTGGGAGAAGAGCAATGACAAACCTAGACAGCATCTTAAAAAGCAGAGACATCACCTTGCCAACAAAGGTCCGTATAGTTAAAGCTATGGTTTTCCCAGTAGTGATGTATGAAAGTGAGAGTTGGACCATAAAGAAGGCTGATCGCTGAAGAATGGATGCTTTTGAATTATGGTGCTGGAGGAGACTCTTGAGAGTCCCATGGACTGCAAGAAGATCAAACCTATCCATTCTGAAGGAAATCAGCCCTGAGTGCTCACTGGAAGGACAGATCCTGAAGCTGAGGCTCCAGTGCTTTGGCCACTTCATGAGAAGAGAAGATTCCCTGGAAAAGACCCTGATGTTGGGAAAGATGGAGGGCACAAGGAGAAGGGGACGGCAGAGGATGAGATGGTTGGACAGTGTTCTCGAAGCTACCAGCATGAGTTTGACCAAACTGCAGGAAGACAGGAGTGCCTGGTGTGCTCTGGTCCATGGGGTTACGAAGAGTCGGACACAACTAAACGACTAAACAACGCAACAGTCTGTGCATGTTCTTCACAAAGCCACATTCTGTGCCCTTGAGGGTTTTTTTAAGTGGAGACTGGCATTGAAGTCACTTTTTGTGGCTTAGTGGTTCTCTACTCCCAGCTTGTCAAGGGTGAAATCCTCAGTACTCAGTGGTACCTCGGGTTACATACGCTTCAGGTTACAGACTCCGCTAACCCCGAAATAGTACCTCTCGTTAAGAACTTTGCTTCAGGATGAGAACAGAAATCATGCGGCAGCGGCGCGGCAGCAGCAGGAGGCCCCATTAGCTAAAGTGGTGCTTCATGTTAAGAACAGTTTCAGGTTAAGAACGGACCTCCAGAACGAATTAAGTACGTAACCAGAGGTACTACTGTACCATATTTGTGTGTTGAAACAGCAGAATGGCTAAAAATGGGAGCAGAAATAGTATGTTTCTAGTTGCTTAAAGGCCAACCTGATTTAAACAATTGTCATGTACACAACCAAGCTGCATTTTTAATTGGCTGCTGAATTGAGCATAAACAGGAATCCATTAATTTTGGTTGGCCGTGGTAGCTGATGCTACTGCCTCTGAGTGTCTGAAAACAATGGACTTTGCTTTCTGAGTCCTTTGAAGGAAGCCCAGTACAAAGTAATGGAAGGAAGAGCCCCTACCTGTCCCTTGCCAGAGGTGTTCGCTCTTGGAGATTCTATTTATCCTCACAGAGAAGAGCAAAATGTGACTCAGCACTCAGTTGAAGTCGACAGCTTGTCTTGGGAAAGGAATCACCTTCAACCCAACATTTTTACTTGATGGGTGATTGTATTAATGAGTTGGATCTTAACTGCTTCTATCCTGGTAATATCGCTACTTTAGTCACAGTGAACATCTAGATAGGCCAGGCTCCTGTGTCACCCTCGCAGAGTTCACAAGACTCAGATTAGCAGGCCAGTGCTAACCCAGCAATTCTTAGCTTTTATTCTTGATTGGGAATGGATGTGTTGAGAATGGAGAAGACCAATACTTTGTGTGCCTGTGGTGTCACTTGTCAAGGTGCAGAAGCATCACAAAAGAGGGGCTGCCCCATTTGCCCCAGGGTCTTCACACCTGACTGTACTGCCTTGGCAGTCTTTTCATTTATTTATGCTTTTACTGGTTTATTCATTTCCATACCACTCTTCATCCAAAAATCATCACCATTACTATATTAATAATGCTTTAGACAGAGCAGCTTGCTCTGTCCTCTGACCAGAAGAAAGAAGCAAGTTTCCATTTTGAAACAGCTTATAACCACATTTATATGGAAGAATTGAAGTGAGGATCCCCTCCAGTCTTGCCACATTCATTCTCCTTCATCTTTCAACCAGGGAACATGCCCCTCCCTAGTTGAAAAAAAACAAATGTTTTATTGGCTAATCTGGTTTTATGGGAGGGAGAGAATTGTATCCTGCTCTGACTACTGTAGATAGCATGGACTACCAAGTGCATGTGGGTTTGGATGGCAAAAAGGCTTTAATTCTGTTTGTGTGTGTGCTTTTCTAACTATGAAGGGAGGCTCTATCTTGGTCAGAATGAAGTATCCCTTTTTAGATGGGTGTTCTCTAGCACAAATTCTTGGAAGGTTTAGTAGCATAACAGGTTGCATGATGACAGCTCCTGTGAAAAGACTGAACAATATTTGGTAAATCTCTGTACCACTCAAATGTGTTAATGTTGAATTGGTCAACTGCTGATGCACATGCAGTGAAAATAACTTTAAAAATCTTGGTGCCATGGTCATTAAAATGTGTAGAAAATTAATATTTTTTCTGTCAAGATTAATGCAGCTCCTTTGTTTGCTAATTGTCAGAATATCTTGATAGAGCTTTTAAAGGGCAGTGGTGTTCTTCAAGACCATCACATCACTGATAAATTATTCAAAGGCAAACTGTCCTGCACCCTCTGGTATCAACTTGCAAATTAGCATCTGGAATCCAAACAAGCTTAATGAAATCAGCAGCTGAATATTCTGTGCTACTGAAGCTGTTCACCAAAAGCATTGATCATTTGATCAGCCCCACTAATGAAGCCAGGTCACTGCTCCTGAGTGTCAGTCACTCATACAGGAAGCCTAAATGAGACTGATGAGGCGCCAGCACCTGATCAAGTTTGAAGTTTCGGCAGTTGTCAAAAAACAAACAAAAACTCCCAACTATCAGCATTGTTGTCAGCCATTATTCAGGCGCCTGGCCGCAAATAATTATGTCAGTAATTTCCTTCACTCTCCACAACACCCCCATCTGAGCCTTGTTATTTCACATCCATCCTGAACTACAGATCCTGAATCTTCCACAATTTAAGTCCAGAAAAGCAGTCTATTGGTCAGTCTACCCTTGCACTCTAGAGCTGTGGTTTCAAAATGCTCTGGGAGGCAGGAGGCTGGACTGTATCTTTCTACAGATTTCAAAGTGCATGTGAGATCTGCACACAGAACCCACCAGCCACCCTCATCCTATTAAAGCAGAGGGGTTTCACATTCCACTGCAGTGGGAATGTGAAGAGAATTGCAGACAATGCATTTGTCATTTGTCATGATGCTAATTTGCAAGTTGATACCAGAGGGTGCAGGACAGTTTGCCTTTGAATAATTTATCTGTGATGTGATGGTCTTGAAGAACACCACTGCCCTTTAAAAGCTCTATCAAGATATTCTGACAATTAGCAAACAAAGGAGCTGCATTAATCTTGACAGTAAAAATATTAATTTTCTACACATTTTAGTGACCATGGCACCAAGATTTTTAAAGTTATTTTCACTGCATGTGCATCAGCAGTTGACCAATTCAACATTAACACATTTGAGTGTTTGTTTACAATTTATTTTTAGATGTTTACAATGTGCAGAAGACAAATCATACAGCATGACATTTTTGCTAAATGCCCCAAAGACAAGGACTCTTATATTGAACTTTTGACCTATGTGTCTTGTGATTCCATTTGGAGATTCATCTTCTTTTTTCAACTTTATTGTTATGTCAGAAAAGGTAGGTTTGCATGGTGCGTGGCGTGGCTGAAGTAGTAATGTTTCCTTGCTTCTCTGAAAAGCTCCTACCTGCAGTAACCCGTTGCAGAGCACCTGTGTTCTTGTAAAATGTAGTTAACAGAACAGCCTGAAGGTTTGCTGTGCCAGAATGTGAGCCAAGGATAAGCTGTAGCAGCACACATGTTGATGGTCAAGGCCCAGCATTACTGCCAGGAAGTCTCATCCATGCATGCAGAGTTTATTGTTGTGCAAAGCGCACTTCAAATATCAGCACCCATACAAGGGGTGAATTCTCGTGATGAAACTCGATGGCCCTTGTGGTCTCTTCCAACTCTATGATTCTATGATTCTATAAACAACCTCTTGTTTATTTATTGTTGCCAAAACTTGTGTGTCTATGGTGTCCGTCATAGTTATATAGGCAACCTAGACAACACCCCCCCCCCCACTCCTAGATGTTAAAATTCTCAAACAGAGTGGGGGACCCATGACCTCATAATTTCTCTTGCCTTGAGATCTGGAAGATTACTGTGTGGTTACGTCACCTGTTTGATTTCCTGCCTCATTGAAGCAAACATTCACATGGCATTTGGTCTGTAACATGGAAAGCTACCACCTTTCAGTTCCCCGTGTGGAACTGGGAAGTTGTGAATCTTTTGTGTTCCTAATGCTTTTACTCCTTGCTGCTGAATGGTAACTAGAACAGCCTGGCTACTGCATTAGGAAAATCACCAGTGAGGTAAAATGCTTCACAAATGTACACAGCTTGCTGTAGCATTGTATGCTGGAGGCCGGGTTAGGGTCACTTCATCCAGCTATTTCTGGATGCAAGGAAGAAATTGCTTAATTGGGTGAAGGTCAGTACAGGAGTAAATCTAGTCAGCTTGGCTAAAGTGGTGCCCATTTTGAAAATTATTTGTATGGCAGCATAAGCTTCTGTGCTGCATTATTTTTTATGGGTCCTTCAATGAATCAGTTCATGAACAAGTTTGACCTTTTATTATGTAACTCACTAAATTAATATGAGAGTGTATATCTTGTACTGAGATTTTTTTTATACCCATCACTGCTTTTAAATTAATACAGCTGAGGTACTGTGCGCAAAATAAGTTTTCAGTGCTATCCTATGAATGTTGATTTGGAAGTAAGTCCCACCAAGCTCACTTGGATTCCTGGGTAAATAAATGCACCTTGGATCACCACCTTTCCATGGATGCTAGATGATTCCGTGTGTTGTGGGGTGGGGGAGGAAGGGAAACTTGTGGCCCTCCAGATGTTGTTGGACTTCTACCAGCCCCAGCCAGCATGGGGCAGTAGTTATGGATGATGGAAGCTTTAGTCCAACATCTAAAGGGCCCCTGCTGTAGGAAATTGTCTCTTTAATTTTAGCAACTAGAGACTTTGTGTATGTGGGGTGACCTCACATTGATTTCCTCTGCCCCTGGTCTCCTGCCTTTGTGATAGCAGACAGCAGTGTTCTCCAGTTACAAAACTTGTGTTTCTTAATGACTTAGGAACTTGTGTGAAAAGCATTGGATGGAGTGGAGAACTGGCACCACAAATTGGGTGCTCTATACTCTTCCATCTGCAAATCAGTGAAGTGACCAAGGCACTTACATGTAAAACAAATGTGGAAATGTTGTGTGCTGGGGATGGGGAAGGGGAGAAACAGACCTGACTTTGGGACTCTTGCCACTGCTGTCGGAGAGGGAGGTAATCTATCAGTTTTGGAGCATCTACAAAATGCAACTCTCCTGACAACGGGTTTAAAGTAAAGATTTAATACCATCCTCTCTCTACTATGATGTTGCAGTGACAGTTTAAAACTCATTCTCTAAATCTCAGCAGACTTTACAGCCAGCAGTGGGCCAATATAGAGTTTAATGGCATTACAGCACATAAATCATCTTTTAAAGATGCTACCAGTAGCTCCAAAATTAAATGCAGACAATGTCCTCAGTTATAAATAATTTATCAAACACCATTTCGGATGAGCCTTCATGCTGAGTTATTTATTTTAGCCTTTACTGTTCAATTCCTCAGATACGTTTTGAGAGATCCATTACTGGTCAGTTTAATGAACTGGGGGTCTGCTGTGCCCCCCTCCAGCAGTTTGGCACATCTGTGGTGACCATTACATGGCTGGTCCAGACCTCTTTGTGCCTTTTACAAGTGCTGCCCATTTGTCATGTGGCGGTAAATGGAGGAGCACATTGGAGCCTTGGGACCCATTGCGTGATGCAGCAATGGAGGCAAGCCGAGCGCTCCATAAAGGGCTGCTTGTCACAGCTGACTTGTATTACAGTCCATCACTCTTACTGTAATCTCATTTAAGGAGCAGCCGTGGGCCCCAGAGAAGAATATTCCCAGTTAGCTTGGGCTTTGTAACCATAAAGGAGGAAGTGCTCCTTTTATATACTCAGAACTTTTAGGGTACTTTTTTAGATTAATTATTGCCCTGCGTCATTTGTGCTACCATCGTTAAGACTGCGACTGTCAGCACATTCAGTATACACCTCTGTTTTGCAGCTTTAAGAACTTCATTCGGTGGTAGAAATTAGCATATGTGGCATGTATGCAGGGCCAGTTTTTCCTGAGCAATGTTTCACAATGCCATTCTTGAGCAAAAACAATATTCCACTCGTATGCAACTGTTTTTTAATTAATAGGATTTAATAAAATGGATGTTAAAAATGTTACATGGGCCTGATGGTGGTAGGTGGTACTTGATTTGGTAAAATGGAGTTTGGTTTTGTCAGTTTAAACGTGTAAAATGGCTTTGAAAGCATGGTAAAATAGTGTTGAATTTGGCACAGAGCAGACAAGCAGCTGTATTTTCAGTCTGAGGAAGAATGCCTCTGTTTTTCTGGTAGTATCAAGTATTATGTTTGCTTATTTCAGTACATCTTTTTTCTTTCTAAACTGAGGAATGTCGCTGAGATAGGGTCACATGAACATGTCTGAGGCTTGTCCAAGGACTCGTATTTGATGACAAAAATCCCGGAAGCCCATCTTTCACAGGGGGGTGGTTTCTGCTTTTAATTCTGAACCAGGACAAAGCTTAGGTTGAGTGTGTTCTGAACAGTAATTTTGTTCAGTGGAAGCAAATGAGGCAAGCAGAATGCAGACCTCTCTGCCTGTGTCACAACTGAGCTGTGAGACTCTTGGGGGCCTCTGCAGAAAGCACCATATATGGATAATGATGCTGGACTGCAACTCCCAGCAGCTGTTGAACACATCCAAAAATATCTGAAGGACCACAAATTACTCATCCCTTAGATCAAAATTCCCTCCTTCCCCTGCTTGCTTTTCCAAGTGGATTTTGGTTTGGATGTTCTCTTCCTTGGAATAGTTACAGCATTTATGGATACACTTCATTGCTTATTTGAATTGAGCAATATTTCCAGTTGCACAGGTTCTACCAAAAAGATCTTGGGCCTTTCAAACAGATCCTGTCCTGCATTTGGTTTCTATGGAAGTTTTGCTTCAGGAGATGATTACTCCAATGGAGGCTGATGGCTGGCATTGTGCAATTGCTTGGAAATATGGGAAGGGGGGGCAAATGTCTGATACCCACTTTGAATTTTTTTCCTAGGAGGAAGAAGCCAAACAGCTTGTGAGAGACGCCATAGCAGCTGGCATATACAACGATCTGGGCTCTGGCAGTAACATTGATATTTGCATCCTCAGTAAGAACAAGCTGGACTTTCTCCGTCCCTACGATATGCCCAACAAAAAAGGGGAAAGGTGAGCGTGTCCCTGTTTAAATTGTTTCCACAGACAAGAGAGTTAAACCTTCAGGTACCAGGAACAGGCAGATTATGCCTTCAGAGTGCAAACACTTGTAATTGAAATGTTACAGGTAATCGTATCCCAATTGTTGAGGCTGCACACTGTTCTAGCTTAGATAATTAAAACACACTCTTGAAAAATAAATGCAACAAGAATTGTTCTGCCTGAAGTAGTTGTCAGCCTAAGAGAAAGTCTGCTAGTTCCAAAAGTGGAGTGAGTTCATTTTAATAGGAACGAAGGGTTTTTTCGAGAGAAATGCACAAAGACTCCTGGATAAACTTAGCGGTTATGGAATATGAAGAGAGGCCCTCCTGCACATCAGAAATGGTTAGATAGCCGGAAGCCAAGAGAGTAGAAATACAGGTGGCTCCCCATTTATGTGGGAGTTCCATTCTGGGCCCCTGCACACATACGCAAAATTGCATAAAATGGGGAGCACCTGGTGGCTTGTGAGGAGACCAACCCCAGAGCCAAAAGACAACCTTTTCAGGAGGGTTTACTCATGAATGAGCCTGAAGGGTGGCATCAGGGCTTTGTTGAGCTACTCGGCCTCCCTGCCTGGCAGCTGCAGTTGCCTCTTCCCAGCGCATCAGCTGAGCAAGCCCTGCCACCCCCTGGCTTGTGAGTAGAACCTCCCCAGAGCCCTGGGGTGGGTGTCCTTGTGAGCCAGGATTCACGCTGCTCCCCATTTCCAGATACCTCTTCTGGGTCCCTGGCACCACACGTGTGTGCAGTCATGCACAAATAGATTGCACATAAATGGGGACTTGCTTATAAATTGACAGTTCTCCATATGAAAAGAATGTGGGGCTGTAGAAAGCGGAGACCTCCAAGGATCAGTATTGAGACCTGTGCTTTTTAACTTGTTTATAAACTATCTTTGCTTCGGGGTAAGCAGTGAGGTGGCCAAATTTGCTGATGATACTAAATTGTTCAGGTTTGTTAAAACAATTTGAGACTGTGAAGAGCTCCAAAGGACCTCTCCAAACTGAGTGAAAGGGAGGCAAAGGAGCAAAGGCAGTTGAGTGTAAATAAGTGTAAAGTGATGTATTTTGTGGCAATTTTTTTTAAAATTTCACATATACACTCATAGGGTCTGAACTGGCAGTGACTGATCAGGAATGAGACCTTGGGTTTGTAGTCGATAGCTCAATGAAGATGTTGACTCTGTGTGTGGCAGCTGTGAAAAAGGCAAATTCCGTGCTAGGGATCATTAGGAAAAGAATTTAAAATAAAACTGCCAACATCATTGTGTCATTATACCAATCTATGGTGGAACTGCCTTTGAAATACTATAAACGGCTCTGGTCCCCTCACCTTAAAAGGGTAGAGTTGGAAAAAGTTGAGAAACGTGCAACCAAAATGATCAAGGTGGAGTAACAGGTTGATATCTTTGAGACTTTTAAGTTCACAGGAAAGGCAAGCAAGAGGTGACCTGATAGATGTTTATAAAATTATGCATGACATAAAGTGGCTAGGGAGGTTTTCTCCCTCAACAACAACAGAACTCATAGACATGCAATGAAGCTGAATGTTGGAAGAATCAGGATATATAAAGTACTTCATGCAGCACATAGTTAAACTATGGAACATGCTCCCACAGGAGGCAGTGATTACTTTAAGAGAGGTTAAGGCTACCAGGAGCTACTAACCAAGATGCCTGTGTTCTACCTTCACTGTCAGAAGCAGTATGCTTTGGAATACAAGTTGCTGGTAATGGCAGGTGGGCAGAGTGCAGTTTTGCTCATGTTCTGCTTATGGGCTTCCTCCATGTATCTGGTTGGCCACTGTGAGAAGAGGATGCTAGACTGGGTGGGCAATTGGCCTGATCCAGGAGGCTGTTCTTATGTTCTTAAAGTGCAATTGTCCAGCGCAAATAGTATGGTGTGAAAAGGCAGTAGCTGGGGTTGTGACCCTTTAGGGAGACCAGTATTCCCTGTACATCTGCTGTGTCTTTGCCAAGGACATGGCTGTTTCAAAGTAGGGAAGAGTAAGAACTTTCAATTTTTGTTTGCAAGGGAATAGCCACTTTGCTGTGCAGTTTTCCATTCTGTTCCGTGCACCAGGTTATTCTTGGAGTTGCACTAGGATGTGGGCAATAACAAGAACTGCGTCATTTTGCATGGCAGCAGCTATTTACTTCTTTCAAAGACTAGAAAGGACCATTTGGGAACATACTACTTACCAACCTTGAAAAAGGATCCTGTCTTTGCAGGAGCCACTTTCCCTGTGCTTGTAACCTTCTGTAAAAAGAAAAGGCTTATTGTAATCAGCTTTCTGGGTCACTGTCCTAATGCAATCCACAACTCCCAGAAAGGTCACCTGGGGTTTCCACTCATAGCCTCCAACTGGGCTAACTGGCGGCACTGACATTCTCTGTCCAGGAGAGGTTCTTCAAAAGCCATAGTGCAAGAGGGATATGGGTTACAAATACAGAATGAGGTGCTCTTGGCAGGGGTCGAAGCTCTAACTTGACTTTCTGCTCCAAAATGGAGTCTTCCTTTCCAATAACTTTGTCTTAGAATGTATTCACATGCAGCATTAAACAGTTGTATTTTAATCTATGTGTACAGATGCCTCCCTCTTGGCCCATGTCTAACTGCCCTGCAGCAGAGGAAATAAGCTGGAGTCTGGCTTGTTGTGACTTGTAACTCAGGGCCTTGTGGTTTGTTTCCTCTGTGTGGTAGTCAGAAGTGGGTGATTAACTTGCTGTGTTCTATTTGGGAAAAGGGCAACTTTACTCAGTACAGCAACTAGATCTAAGTATATATCTCAATCTCCATCTGCCCCCCTTGTTAGTGGGATTTCTGGCAGACACACATTACTCTCTGTAATTGCTTCTCTATTCTCCCCCTCCACCCTCAAACAGGCAAGGGCGATACAGCTGTGAGAGGGGAACTACAGGTGTGCTCTATACGAAAGTTACACCCTTGGATCTTGAAGTGGCAGATGAGACAGTGCAAACAATGGATACATCTTGACTTACTGGGAACTTCTGGGCAGTGGAAGAGGATTGAGAATTTTCATACCTGAATTCTGCATCTGTATGCTGGCATTAATGTTCTGTATGCAGATTTAATAAAAACCAATATGAATTGACCGGTTGACTTGCGTAATAACTGGGGCAGGAAAAAATAATTTTCTAAAATGATTATTTGCTTCAGTAGGTCAACCCAGTTGTACATCCAGCCTATTATGTGACCCCAGCCACTTCACAAGTAGAGCAGCAGTCATTCTTAGATGCAAAGGTTAACAGATCTTATCCCCTGTGTGCTAATGGTGTATTTATGCTGAAGCTGTCTGGTGACCAACAAGCAATAGCCTAAGATTGTGTGGACTAAAAGCCTGCTTCATTCGATAAATCTGCTGAAGCAAGTTTTAGGTCATGAAAACTTGTGATGTAAATTTGTTGGTCTTTAAGGTGCTTAGCAGATTCCTTGGTTTTGTATGCAATATCCTTTTATATTGCTTTTATATTTAATCATTTCCCATATTTTTCATAACTCAAGAGGAATAAATAAAGTGTGGTCACAGCATTTTTTGCTGAACACTTTCACGTACTTTAAGCAGGTATGGCAGAGGCAGGGGGTTACAGATCATTTAGTAAAGCAACAAAGCAAAAGTAACAGGCATAAGGTGGAAGTTGTTTGCCGCTGGAAACAGTGTTGCTCTGGATTTTACACCAATCAACCCCAAGTGGCTTTACCTCACCCCACACCTAAGGTTTTTTTTGGGATATAGTACAGGTAAATGAGGTGACAAGTATTTTTCCAAGGAAGAGGAAGGGCAGAAAGTCGGTATCAAGCTCAGTACTATTCAAACTAACTTTGATAAATGGCTATTATCTTACCTTTTACCCTTGTAACTTACATTTCCCCTAAGCGGTGTCTTGGTACCTGCTCTCTCAAGCCCCCCATCTGCTCTACATGGGATGGAATTAAATAGATATGAAAGAGAGAAAAAAGTTGGTGTTAAAGAGTTGAGTTGCACTCTGTCTCCTTCTGTGTGTAATATACAGATGCAGAAATGAGCTTATATTTAGTCAGCATGAGTTGCTTATTCCTCCGGTTTAATAGGAATACCCTTTGTGACTGTCATCAGATGTTTTCTTATAAGAAAATTCAGCCATACAGCAGGTAGCACTTAACTTATTGTTGTACCATAATTATAACTGAACCACTGTCCCAAGTCAATTAAGTACGTGAATATGTATATCAAGATTAAATCATTTGCAGATAATTAATAGATAATAATAGGGAAAACTGGGAAGGACTGTCCTACAGTTTATTCAAAAGGTCAATCAACTTCCAAATGCAGCCCAACAAAAACCCCTTTCACAGTGAATATTCTGCAGAAAGAATTTAAAACAGAAGCGTATCTTAAGAGGCAAAGGTAGGATAATCACGGTAATATGCTACCTTCCGAGAGGATCTCATTCTTTTGTGATTTGATCTCTGCTAGCAATTTGTGTGTATATGCTACAATCACATTTAGCCCTGGAGGAGAGCCAGCATCTGGTACATTTTTTTTTAATGTGTTATTAAGCTTTCTGTTTGTGTGAATGATTTCAGATGCCAGATCATCACCTGTGTTACCTTGTTGTTAATGTACTTCATCTTTGTGTCAGTGTCAAAAGAGAGAGAGAGAGAGAGGATGAGAAGGGAAAAAAAATAATAATGATGTTGGGACTGAAGAATTTAGAAAGGACCTAAGAAAAGGAGGTGAAGTGGACAAAATTACCTAGTCCTTGGTTTAGCGGTCAACCATTTCAGCCTGTAAGCAGGGGAAATTTTTTCCTCATGATTGCAAAAAGATGTGCCCAGATAATATGCTTTTACACCAGGCACCTTTTTCTTTCTACAAAGAAAACTGTTTATTTTGTAAATCATTTAATCTTATCTAAAAATGCACATTCACAAAAAATTCTTTGGAAATACATGCACTTAAGCGCTAATAGATCTTAAGGAGTAAGTATATGAGACCAGATTTTAGCAGACACACCTGTAACATGGAATTGCCCAACAGACAGAAGTTTCATGTTGCACCCCAAGACCAGGTTATATATAAATTCAAATGAAGCCTGCAGTGCCAGGGAGAGATTACCTTGCTTTTAAAGACACCCACCAGCAGCAGCACCTGAAAGTTTGTAAGCAGATGTGCTGCCGCTGTACAATAAAGCTGAAATATTCTGACTTTCCACCAAGATTGATAGGCTGGACTTCCCTGTGGCTTTCCACAGCCAGGATCTTTCATAGCAATTAAACACTAGCCTTATTACCCTTTGTAGATTGTTTCAGAACTGCTTAGTAGTTGGCATTGCCCTTCTCAATTTAAGGCAGACTGAGCTACACAGAAATCCACTGAAAAAGATGCATGTATATTCCATTCTTTATTTCCAGCAAAATAGCCTGCTTTGAAAATAGCCCAGAGGCCAGGCCACATTTCAACCCATGAAGTCTTCACAGTTAAGAAGTGTGGGTGATCATTTGAGTTAAAATGAATGAATTCTATTTTAACTTACCTTATTGCATGGTCAATGTAATACCCTTTTACATTATGTTTTGAACACTGCTTCAAGGTAGTTGTAGATGGCCAAAGTACCACTGATTTTATAAAGCTTTTCCCCCCAACCCCATATTCTGTGTACAATAACACTGGTCATGTAATATTAGCTATTGAGATTCTCACAAGATCTGTGCCAGCAGCGGCACAGAAACTGACAAAAAAGAGAGCTTTGGTTTGAGGCCTACAGTGGAGGCCTCACTGATTGCATCCATAGTGGCAAATAAAATGCATTGCAAAATATAAATCACAAAGTTTCAATTTCTTTAAAAAAATATTCAAACATGTTCACTCACCATACCCTATTATTGTAAGGAGAGAAGTACAAAAACTCCAGGCTGGATGTCTTTTTAAAAAATATATTGTAGCCTTATTGGAGTTCACCGATTGGGTCTGCGTTGCTCCGGGACAGGAGGAAGGAAGTCAAAATGACACCGAGGTTGGTTCAAAGAAAGAGTTTATTCTGCTCTCCGGATAGCAGAAGGCACTTGCGTGGTGAGTCCACAGCAAGTCCAAAGAAATGACAAGTTTCATGCAGTATATATACCCTCCAGGCATCCTCTCCCCCTTCCCCAGCCACGTCAACTTGTATACGCAGGTTGACATCACATATGTTCCTGCTCTGGTACTCTCAACCATAAAATAATCTTCCTTCCTGTACTTCTGACCATAAAAGGATCTTCCTCTTCCTACTCTTATCTGGGAAGACGTCATAATCTCCGGGAACACGCTTTTGGCATTTTTCCCGGACATTGGTCTTGTGCGTATTTTGTGGTCAGCACATAAGATAAAGTTCTGATGTGTTTTCGCCGTTCCGTTAGAGAGCCAAGGCCATCCCTTGCCTGTCCTGATAAAGGACAGAACTGTTTATGCAGTTGTGTCCTTATTATGGTTTTGCTCAACAGTTCAAGTTTTACGCATTTAAAAGTGCTCTCTTTTGAAAGAACAAAGGGGGGGGGTTGAGTCAGTTTTCAAACTTACTACACAGAAACCCATTCCTTCAATATGAACTAAAAACTGAATTTGCTCAACGCGGTGCCCCGAAAAAACCTCATATCGAGCGTTCTGAGGACCTGGTGTTCCAGTGGGTGCCTTTTGGCGACTACCCCACTGCCTGGTAAGCTCGTAAAGAGCCCCGAGAGCGAGTGAGGTTGGAGACGTGGCATAGCGGAAACGACTCGCTTCCTTCACAGCGCGAAGCTCTGAGTCTGGCGATCGTGAGCGGCCAATTCCTCCAAAAAAGGACAAAAAAATTTGGAACTGTGAGTAAAAGGAAAAGTTTAAATTAGGCTATTTTGGGGGACAAAAAGGGATTTAAAAATGGAGGCTGATCCCTTTTGCTGAACTAAAGGAGAATTGGTTATGAGGACCAAAGCCTTAAGTGGGAAAAAGACTGTTAGAAAGTTTGCAAGCAAACCTCAAAACCCCTCTTCTGCAAGGGGGGGGGGGGATTTTTGGACTTTAAGAACCCTGCGAGACTGAGTATTAAATTAAAGGGGCTCCTTCATTCTGTAGCGGACCTCCCGGTAGGAAAGGCTGAATTCCATTGTGACGTCACAATGAGAGAGGAAACATTCAACTTTTGTTTCAATTGAATTGCATCTTGCTGCCGTCTGGACTTGTTTTTAAGTAGCAAAAAGTATCTGTTACCTCCAGAATTGCCTTTTAAATATCAAAAGGGACTGAGAAAAAATTCTTTTGCAGCCTGCCTCTCAGTAATAAAGAACTGGGAGGCTGCTGGCTGCCTGCAACTGACTCCTGTGGGACTGTGGTGGGAACCTGATTTTCTCCTCTCTCCCGTTTATTGTCGGATTGACCTTGAAATTCTGGAGCAACTATGAGTGTTGATAAAACAGACAAGGGAGCATTAAGACGAAGCTCTAGAAGTGCAGCTTTTGAGGACAGTGTAATGCAACTGTTGTCTGAAATTAAAGATGATATAAAACGTAATTCTCAGGGCATTGAAAAACTGAATAAAAAATTTGAAGACTTGAGAGTGGAACTGAAAGAGGTGAAGACTGAGGTCACAAGTCATGAGACAAGGTTGACACAGCTTGAGACAGAGTGACTGATTTGGAAGGACTACATTATGAAAATGAAAATTCGATTGTATTTCTTCAGATGAGGGAACGGGAATCTCATTTAAGATTGAGACGTGTGCCTCAATTGGAAGAGGATCGACTCAGGGAGTGGATGATAGATCAATTCGTGGCATGGTGGGATTTGAAAAACGACGAAATTGACTCTTGGATAGAAAAGGCTTATAGATTTGGTCCCCAAAAAGATTCAAAAATTACCTATGACTGTATAGTGGTCTTTAAGACCAAAGAAAAAAGAGATACTATTTTGGGACTGCACTACAAAATAGGGTTAAAAATTTAGGATAAAGCCATTGTCCTTTTTAAAGAGATTCCTAAACACTTTCTGAGCCTGAGATCCAATTACCCAGATTTGACAACCATTCTGAGGAGGAAAAATATTTTCTTCAGGTGGGAATTCCCGGAGGGTCTCTCCTTCAAATTTGGAGGAAGAAAGCA